GCCGGGCAGGGGAAACACTGGGTTTCCTTGAAGGGATATGTAATGTTTATTAATGTCCTCATGTAGTTTAAAACTTAGAAAGCCTAAAAAGAAAGCCTATTTGAAATGAATATTTTGACACACCCTGCCACGGTTGTCATTTTGTGCTACCGTGTCTCAGTATTGCTGTCTATTGTGCTGTCAGTGTAAAAAATAGACTTCAAAGGCTTCGCATAAACATACCGGAAAAGAGGCGGAGAGAACTATCGGCATTCCTTTGCTGTGACTATTAACTTTTAATTGCCTCATATGTTCTGTGACAAGTGTGTTGAATTCTAATATGTATGCCTGTTTTTTCCCATCTGTTCTTCACACAGGTCTCAGCCACGGATCCAGATCAGGAGGCGGACCAGCGTGCGGTGCGGTATTCTCTACACGGGCAGGGAGCTGGTAACGAATTCACCATAGATGAGATGAATGGTAGGATCTTCGCCAAACGTCGTTTAGATCGCGAGGTCCGCTCAGCCTGGCAATTCATGGTACTTGCCACTGATGAGAATGGGGCAGGTCTTACCGGGTTTGCTGATGTTCTAGTCGAAGTGCAGGATATGAATGACAACGCACCTGTCTTCCTGTGTGCAACAGACAACTGCTTTTTGGGTCACGTGCCTGAGAACTCCCCAGCGGACACTTCCATAATGGAGATGCGGGCCACCGACCTAGATGATCCAAAAGCTGGGAAGAATGCTATCCTTACCTACAGAATTGTGCAGAATGTGCGCAATGAGATCAATCTTAACCTCTTCTCCATCAACCCAGCCACAGGCACTATCTATACTGTTTTGCGCTCTTTGGACAGGGAAGTGGTGGATCGATACCTTGTTGTGGTAGAAGCTCGTGATGGAGGAGGACTTTCGGGGACAGGAACAGCCACCATCGTAGTTTCCGACGTCAATGACCATCCTCCGGTGTTCACCCAGAGAGTCTACATGGCCTCTATGCCAGAAAACTTGGACATCAACAGCGAGGTAGTGGTAGTGGCTGCCACCGATGGTGATGAAGGTGAAAATTCAGTCATGGCGTTCAGCATCATTGGTGGAGATGAAGACCGCAAATTCTTCATTGAGACTGACAAGGTGAACCGCCGTGGCATAGTGAGGCTGAAGAAGAAGATTGACTTTGAGAAGCCACATGAGCGCACATTCAACCTGACGGTCAAAGTGGAGGATGCTGACTTCTTTAGCCTGGCCTACTGCATCATTCAGGTGGAAGACTCCAATGACCACACTCCAGTCTTCTTCCCACAGTTCTACGAAGCAGGATCCATGTTCGAGGACGTTCCAGTAGGCACCATCGTGGCACAGGTGACAGCAGTGGATCTGGACTCTGGACAAAATGGGAGGTTCACATACAGCATCGCCCCAGAATCCGACCCCTTTCAGCAGTTCCTGGTAGATAAGAGTGGTTGGGTTGTGGTAGCTGACTCTCTGGACAGGGAGAAGGTGTTTCAACATAGGCTTATGATCCTGGCCACAGACATGGGCAGCCCTGCTCTGACTGGCTCTGCCATTGTGCTAGTGACCGTACAAGATGTCAATGACAATGGACCAGAGTTTGAGGCTCCATATCGGCCCATTGTGTGGGAGAACACTATTGCGCCACAGGTCATTCACATGAACGATACATCCATTCTGTTGCATGTTATTGACAGAGACACGTCATCCAACGGAGGGCCTTTTTCCATCCGTCTGCTGATGCTGACCTCTGTTGTTACTAATTTCAACTTGACTGATCTGCGGAACGGCAGTGCCATGATAACCGCTCTCCGCAGCTTTGACCGGGAACAGCAGAAGCAGTATCTTCTCCCCATCCTGATGATTGACAGCGGCTCACCACCAATGAGCTCCACCAGTACACTCACCGTCATAATTGGAGATAAAAACGACCATCCCCATGCACCTGGACACAGCGAGTTCATAGTGTACAACTTACAGGGTATGTTCCAAAGAAATGTCATAATCTTGCTACCATAGTACTGAAATTCACTGGCTGTTGTTATTTACATCCCTTACAAAAAGTACTGTGGCAGTACCATAGTATAATGGTGGTGATACTATAGTATTTTGAAATATACCATGGTACTGAAATTCATATACCATGGTATTTTAATGGTACTCTAGGGTACTTCCAAGAATACCATGATACTACTATTTTGCATGTCCAGAATACCATGGTGGTAGCATAGTACTTTTTGTAAGTGTTAACATATTCATTTTGCATATTTACTTGGTACTCCAAGGTACTTCAAATGCTACTTCCATGCTACATGTCCAAAATACTATGGTAGTACCATGCTTCACTTCCAAAATGCCATGCCATTATTTATTTTATAGTACTTAAAAATATTTCATAATGTGTAAGAAAATCAGAGCCAAAACACTTGTTTTTTAGTCGTCTTAATATATCACAGTTTTTTTGTCTTCTTAATATATCACATAGGAAAGAAATATAGTATTACTTGATATATTTTTAACATTTTTCTCTTTTCTCTGATGGAAATGCATTAGCCTTCTAATAAGAATTCGTCATGTAGCTCAAACATGGCATGATGCTAACAATTTACTTAAATCCCAGGTTTAAGAGGCACATAAACAGGAACCATTTTAAAGGGTGTTGATTTCATGACTAACAGGATTACAGCATTTCGTTTTGCCTTTTGGAGAAATGGCAATGTTGCATGCTAATAGCATTGCACCCCCCTCCCCACTGTGCTGTTTAAGTGGGTCCATATTTGCCAATGAGATGCTCTGCTGTTTGCTTATCTTTTTAAAGATATGTCTCCTCCGCCCACCCACACACGCGCATCGCCACAGGTATCGCGCAGGCTGGATGAAGGTAGCTTTTCTCTAACCTCATTATGTATTTTCCCCAGGTACACTCCCCATGACGGTGCTTGGACAGGTTCAATCCCCTGACCTTGATGATTGGAGCGAGAAGGTTTACAAGTTCGAAGGCAAACCCCCCAGGTGCTTTGATCTTCTATTGAAGTTTGATTCAAACTCTACTGTGTCAAGTGACACTTACAAGAGAAGAAAAAAATAACAAAAGTGAGGGGAAGATAAAGGGTGTGAGTGTGCAGAGCACGGCATATTAGCTTACTGACATCTTGCCTGTCACTTGCCTTTTTCATTTAAAAATTCACTCTGAAGTGATACATGAATTCTCTCCTAGTAACTGATAAGAAAGATTACGTTGGCTAGAGGTTCTCTCTAATGAGCTGCATCTAAGTGTGATGGACTTTGTCCAAACCAGACTCTGTGGCTCATGCCAACAATGGCACCTTTAAGTAAAGCGATTATGCTAACACTCCAGCAAGCAATGCAAACTCAATCAGTTTAATCTTGAGTTCAATCACAGTCTATTTCAAGTTCCATCCAAAGCTGTGCCCGACGGTGTGTTGTGGAGGATCTCTTCTCATTAATTTGGATAATTAACACATTAATACATTAGCAGTTTGATGTTAGCTAGTGTGACGCATCTCTTGGCACCACACTCTTGCTTCGATCCAAGCAGTTTTTCATTTGCTTACTTGACAGTTAAGTACCTAATCTGGCACCCGAGCTGAAGGTTACCATCGAGGTGGAACTCTATTCCTGTTATATGAACATGATTGAATTTAATTTGAGCAGTGACTACTGAGTTTAGCGACCTTGCTGCACAATGTTTGAAGTTACAGGGCCAAACATAGCTTCATAGCAAACGCCATATACCAGGGTTGTTTTAATAGACATGAAATGTCTATTTTCATTTTGTGTCCTTGTCCTCTTAGCTCACACTACAAGATAGATATGGCGTTATTTTACTGACAAATGTCGAGAGCGCATTGCTGTAGCATGAAAGTACATTAATATAAAGTTTCCTGTCAAATTAACATAAAATGCAAAATGTAAATGATGCACAGGATATAACACAATAAATGCTGTGATAGAATCGCTGTTTGGACATTTATTGGGAGTTTTTTTTTTCTTTTGTCCATTCAGTGTTTGTTTCCAGTTCTGATTTTAGTTGGATTTTTTTTTTTCTTATGAAAACCCACTTCATATTAGCTACACATTCAACCTGGAATTCTTTTGACAATCAAAGATGGATCTGCAATTTCGTTACAATTTAATAATATTTAGCAATATTAATCAAATGTATATTAGAAATGGCAAGGAATGGGGTGTTTGGATGATTTGTACATATAAATAACCTAGTCTGTCTAACTGGTTGGTCAAACCCCTCTGAGCGATTTATCTAAACAAATAAACAAAAAATTATATGATTCTTAAAGTTCGTGTGATCATACATGTCTTGTGTACTTGGGTTGAAATATATATTAAAATATCTTCTGATTTAAGACAGGACTATTTAGATCAGAGTCAGGTGCACTATTCCCTAAATACTTAAAATGTGGAGAATTTCTCATATTTGTCATAACATCATTATATTATATGGGTTTAATGAATTTGCAGACAATGTAGTTATCTGTAACTGTCATATAACTGTATTTTCACTGTCTTAGAGGAGAGTGCCATTGAATGTGTAGCTAATATGAGGAGGGTTTTCATGAAAAAATCTAACTAAAATCCCTGGATGAAAAAAAACCTCCCAATAAAAGTCCAAACAGCGATTCTATCACAGCATTTATTGGGTTATATCTCACTCACACTAGTCTGTAATCACAGATGCTACAATATGTTTTGAAATCTGGTTCCAAGAGAGACATGAAGAACAGTCAATGAAATTGCAAGTCTGCAATCGTCGTATTTTTCAATTATTTTTCAGCTTGTGCAAAACAATCCAAAAAAATGACCACAAACCCTTCCGCCAAGTTATCAAGAATCAACTCTTGCATTACTATGTGTGCTCGTTTATGTGAGAAAATGCAAATTCAGGATAGTAGATACGTTCAGGGAGGCATTTGTGCTTCTCAGTATTTTTGTGTCAAGATTTTTTGATGAATAGAAAGTTCAAAAGTACAGCATTGATTTGAAATAGATTTTTTATGTGTAACAAAAAAAGTGTTTACTGTGACAGCTGATCAATAGTGTACAACCTTGCTGATTAAAAGTATTAATTTCTTTTTTTTAAATCATACTGACATATATCTAACACAGTTGAGTTGTGGTTTATGCTTAAAAGCAAAAAAAATGTGCACAAGAGGACACGCTTTAAAATGCAGAGAAGGGATAATACAACTGTGACCTAGACAGAGAAAGTGCATATCCATACAAAAGAGAGAGAGAGAGAGAGAGAGAGACTGAGAGATTGGTGTGGCCCAGCTGTTCCTGGAATCTCTTATCCAGAACAGCAGAACTGTCCCTGTCATGTTCATCACATCTGGAGACGGAGACAGGAGTTGACATAAGTGCTTTCACTGATATACCCACTGCCATTAATAATACAGCTTGAGTTATCTTACAGCATCAGTGCTGCTCTCTCATGCGTGATGATCCAAGAATGAACCTGGGACTGAATCTCCAGTTATTGTACAGTTATTTTCACTCTGGTTTGTCTTTGTTTAAAGGGATAGTTCACCCAAAAATGGAAATTCTGATACCATTTTGTCACCCTCCAAGCCCATATGACTTTCTTTCACAGAGGTGTTAGACAGTAAGTTGATGCTACTCCTTGTCTTACGATAAAAAATGAAGGAGTAAAGATGCTGTCGAACTCCAAAATGACAAAAAAGCACCATAAATGTATTATAAAAGTCTTCCATCCATATGTACACTATATACCAAATACTATAAAACCATAAAAGATAGCTTTGTGTGAGGAACAGACCAAACATCCTCCTAAACATCTTAATTTACTGCATGAGTAAATGATGAATTTCTTTTTTAATCCTTATTATTATAAATATTTAATAAAGGTGGTAGATTGAGATGATCATAAATACACTAGTTGAATCTTGAGTCATGCATTAATTCTCATCCTTTTGCCCCACTGAACATGAACCCACACAGGCAATTCAGCCTGAACCAAAACACCGGTCAGCTGAGCATCCGAGAGGGAACACCAGCTGGATTCTACAGCATGCAGGTGAGGGTGGCAGATAAGAGCTGGCCTGACGTCACCTCATCAGCTGAGGTCATGGTGATGGAGCTGGAGGAGGAGGAGCTGAGGAATGCTGGGTCAATCAGACTGGCCAGTGAGTGACTCTTCCTTTCAAAAATTTTTAAATAGAACTTAAAATAGAACAGCTTGTTTTTGTTTTAATTTATTAATCTATTAATTCTTAAACATATGCTTACATTATTGTTATATTTAACCTTCATGTTATGTGAGAGGATTTTCTTTTCCCCAAAAATGCTAGTGAATGTTACTGCATAGGACTCCAACTTTGTTACACTTGTGGTGTTCCCAGTCAAAAATCAACGACCTACAAAAAATTGCTTGTAAATCTCTCATCATGCAATATTATTACCAAATGTGGGATTCAGTATTTCTATCAACTTGTTTTCTTTCAATTAGCCATTAGGTTTTGTGTTTCTTTTTGGAACTGGTTGGTATTGATCTGAACTTATGCACCTCTGTTTTTGAGTGAACACTGCAAAAATTATTTTTCACTCAAAAACTGAGGTGCATAATCTCAGATCAATGAAGCCTATGAACAGTCAGTTCCAAACAAAAAATTTAATTAAAAATACAAAACCTGTGCTAACTGAAAGAAAACAATTTGATGAAAAGTTTGAATGCAGCATTCTTAAATTGTTGAATATCTGGTATTAGAAACTATTTTAAAAATGCATAGCATTTGCATCCTTGTATCCCATTAGAAAAAAGTGGCTGATTTTTATGCTCAATCATTTACTTTGACCTTAAAAGTTTGTGCATCACATTCAATGGAGATTTTGTAAATCTGTCACATGTAATGCAGGCTGAGATTGATGAATGAGCATAATGCAGTCCGCAGCCTGAGAGTAAGTGCTCTTACTCATTTCACATGCGAAGAGGCCATTTGCATATAAGTCTTAGCATAGAAGGGGCAGTGTGAAAAAAGTCCAAACAAAATAGGGTCATAGAGATGGTGGAAAACATATGGCAAAAAAAACAAATGTTAAGAAACAGTACAATGTGACCGCATTAATAAATATGCTTGGATTTTACACTGATGGCAAGTTCTTTGTATGTGTGTGTTTGTTACGCACAGACCTGACTGCAAATGAGTTTTTCCAAGCATCAACGAATGAGGAGAGCCGATACATGCGTCTCCGCCGCCTCTTGTCCGAGCTCTTCCAGACTGATATGGAGAACGTTGACATCTTTAGCCTGGCCAGTGGCAGCCAGCCAATGCAGCATCACCTCAGCGTGTGGTTTGCCGCCCATGGCTCGCCATACTACAAGCCCGAGAAACTCCACGGCTACGTGGCAATGCACAGAGCTAAGGTGACAAAGACATGCGCACAAAAACTCACACTTTCACACCAATCCACGTCTTCTGTGTTTCTCACATAGGCACAGACATGGAGTCTATGAAGCGGTTCACATTTACATGCTCTCACACCTGCACTCAGAGACACACTTTGCAACAGTTCAATAAATATTTCATTTCCATGTAAGGTATGAGACGGTGGGCTGTCGCTTTGGGCTGGGGAGGCGAGCATGATTTCTGAAAGGGAGGGAGGGAGGAATGGATAGAAAGAACATGTTGCTCCCTGTGCAGCATCCACCAGTCTATAAATCAGGTGTAGAGTGGGCTCTCTTCACAGCCCAGCGTGGTGCTAATGCTCTCACCGAGATGATGTTGATGCACTACACAGGAAGCTGCCCTGACATTTTTAGAGCCACTGCTGAGGGATGTGATGGACTGCCCTTGAGTCCAGAACAAACAAACACACTCATACTAACAACACATGTACAGAAATGATTATGGTGAATCACTTGTGTTGCATTGTTCCTCTTGTAAATTGTTTTGGATAATAATATATTTTGATAAAAAATATTTTCTTATGCTTCTTATGCTTATGCTAAAGAAAGAAAATGAAAATGTAGTCATCAGAAAGAAAATGAAAATATAGTCATCCAAACTTATGCTCTTATCGTTCCAAACCTGTATGACTTTTTCTTTATAATGTTTCCAAACTGCTCTTTTCCATACAATATTTTATTTTATTTTTTATCAAAATTTTTATTTTTAATTTAATTTAATTTAATTTAAATTTTTATTTTTAATTTAATTTAATTTGTATTATTAATTATATATATATTTTTTTAATTCTTTTTAAATTAAATTTTTATTTTTATTTTTATTTTTTTCAGTAGAATGACCAAGGATGTCTTTTCCATATAAATAAAGTCAATATTGACTGGTAAATTAAAGGGTTCACCCAAAAATGAAAATTAGCCCATTGCTTCCTTTGATCCTGTTAACAAACGTTGGTTTTCACGAGACTCACCGGCGCATGCGCAACGCTGACCTCATACGTCATCAGCCCAGAGCTGCTTCCGTGTACAACTGTTTGCGCAAGCTAGATTAAAGTGATTATTACGTTTTGAATATGGATATTTTTCTTACAAAAACGCATCAATTCGCTACAGGAGGCCTTTGTTCACCCCCCGGAGGCCTCCTGTATTTTTGTATTTTAATATAACTCAGACTGGATTCGTCTGAAAGAAGAAAGTCATATACACCTAGGATGACTTGAGGATGAGTAATTTATGGGCTAATTTCATTTTTGGGTGAACTAACCCTTTAAAGGAAATAACAGGTTGAATGTGGAGAAAAAAATAAAGAAAGAAAAAATGTAAAATTATAACATTTGCTTGAATGTATTTTGTATTTTAGCTTTTCATTTTATTGCATTTAATTTGCTATCTAGTTGTAGTAATGTTGGGTAGCCAACTGTTTCAATATGTTGTGCAGTTTTGCTTATGTGTAGAATTTTTTTTTTTTTTAAATGTATCAATCAACAAATATAGTAAAAAGGAATCAGTTGTGGGAGTAACATTAATTCAACAAGTAATTTAGTAGGATTTGTACTTCTCTTTCAGTTGGAGTCCGCTCTGGGTGTGACAATTCTACAGGTGGGGGTGGACGAGTGCGCCTATGCAGCGTGCGGTCAGACAGGTGGCTGCTCTAGCAAGGTGACATTCAGTAACACCCCTAAAACACTGAACAATGGGAATGTCTCTTTGGTGTCCGTCTCAGCCAAAGCGAGCGCTCAGTGTGGCTGCCTTGCTCGAGAGCGCGTTCACCTGCACTGCTCTTCATACTCACAAAACCCTTGCCTGAATGGAGGCACCTGTGTGGATAGTGAACTAGGCTACAGGTAAAACAGTCTAGTGTTCTAGCACTCATGTCTTGTTAATAATTGCTTGTTTTAGTATATGATAGAATAAACGTTGTTTATTCATATAATGCAGTTTCACTTTTGGTGAAGCAAAATCTACTATTAATCTACTACTCTGTTGTAGGTGTAAATGTCCCCCTATGTTTGATGGACCAGAATGCCAGCAAACCAAGCAGAGTTTCCTTGGCAATGGTTATGCTTGGTTCTCTCCCATAAGGCCTTGCTTCCAGAGCCACATCTCTCTGGAGTTCATCACAGAGGCAGGCAATGGCCTGCTGTTCTACAATGGCCCAATGGGAACACCTCAGCCTGGAGAAAAAGAGGACTTCATTGCACTGGGTATGTATGACAAATGATCATGTTTCACTGTTAATTTGTATAGTGCAGTGGAAAGTGACGTGTCAATTTAGAATGTACTGTGTTATTTAGGTATTATTTATGTACTATTTTTGTATTTATTAATATTCTGAATTAGCTTGTGTTCAGTTTTTATTTTATTTAGTTATACTTTTAGTTATGTGCTTTTGTCATTTTTGTTAGTTAATTAGTTAATTTATTTTAATTTTAATTATATTCATTTTTAAATTACTTTTCGTTTTAGTAATTTTAGCACTTAAACTTATTTCATTTAGTTCCCATTGAGACATTTCTAATTTTAAGTTTAAGTGTTTCATCTAATATTTATATTTTATTTTATTTTATTTTATTCTAGCATTATTTCAGTTACTGAAAATTAATTAAATATTTGTTAACAACAATACCATACACACCACATTCCTAATGATGGAAAAAACTAGTTTGGACTGAAACCACATATGTAAACATTTACTTTTCAGTAGAAAAAAAAGAACAAAACCATCTCCATAATGGAGAGAACATCCATCATAGTAATATCATAATTTAAGATTCTCTTGTTACACTGCATGACATTAATTTCCTCTACCAATTAATTGTGTTACTAAAATCGATTAATGGCAACAAGCACAATTTGAAGTAAGTCATTAATTATAGATGTGTGTAAATGTGTGTGGTCAGCAGTGGTGTGAATGGGGTTTGGGTCAGCATTGATCTTGACCCCAAGTCACCGGTGAAGGTCACATATTCAGATTATATGCCACCTGTCCAGTACTGTATTATGCAACTGGTCGTGTGATTTCAGGAAACGACTCTCCTGTGGCCTTGCATAAGCTTACATCATCAGTTTGGTACGTTTTTATTGAACTGGGGCAAAAGCCCTGTACTGCAGTGACAGCAATTTCAAACTGACCACAAATTGATTATGAATAAGCATTTTTTTTACTGCTGGGGGTCAAAACCAATCTTAGGGGGCATAAAAAAGCATTAGATTTTCATGTCACATGTGTTTGCGGTACCAGTGTCATATGCTTTCATGATGAGTTTGAGAACTTGTTAAAGGTGAAGTGTACTTGTGGCACCGAATAGCCTGGGGTCAAATCTGTGTGACTGTTTTGCCATATTATGGTCCTCTGGGCAAAAATCATAAGTCTGATTGCTCAGAAAAATTATAAACTGCATGATTTGAGGTGTCATTCATGTTTGTAGCACAAACAACACAAGCACAAACAAGTCTTCAGGCCCAGAACTCCCTTTTTTGTGGTGTTGATTTGTGAAATGGTTCCAAATTGGGTCAGTAAGATTTTCTTTTAAATGATTAATGCTTTTATTCAACAAAGATGCCTTACATTTACAGTTTCCTCAAAAATATTTTTTCAAAAAAACTGTTTTCAATATTCATAATAATAAGAAATGTTTCTTGAGAACCAAATCATCAAATTATAATTATTTCTGAAGGATCATATGGCACTGAAGACTGGAGTAATGGCTACTGAAAATTCAGCTATTACAGGAATAAATTACATTTTAAAAGGTATTAATTGTAATAATATTTTTCTGTTTCTAATGTATCTTTGTCAAATAAATGCAGCCTTAGTGAGCATAAGTCACTTCTTTCAAAAATGTTAGAAAATTTTACCGACCCCAAACGTTTGAATGGCTGTGTACCTGTTAGCATTCACTATTATCAGTATACTGTGTGTCTTCTAATCCAATTCTGATTCTGTTTTTTTCATTAGAGCTGAAAAATGGAGTTCCTGTGCTGAGCGTGAATCACGGCTCGGGGACTCTAACACTGCAGCTGTCCGCGAGAGCCACTGTCACGGACCGCCGCTGGCATCACCTCGACATCATCAGCGACGGCAAGGTAGAAGCATAGATTGGAGGGCATGTGACCAGAATGAGACACTGGGCTTTTGCCATTCCCAGAGGAATTTTTGTTTGACTTTATAATGTTCTCAACCTCACCTCCATTTTAATTGGGACGTGAAGCTGTCAGAGAGTCCAGATCATCACATAGCTCTGAGGTTCACACTGGGTTAAGCAGATTGTGAGCTTTATCGCCCTCTGGGATTTGGGTCTAAAATATTCCATTATGAAACGTGACCTCTCGTGCACTCAGATGGTGTAGTACTTTGCCTTTAAGTTAAATCTGTGTGTGTGTGTGTGTGTGTGTGTGTGTGTGTGTGTGTAGACTGTCCAGATGATTCTGGACCACTGCTCTGGTGCCATGGTGAACGAGGTGGAAGGCCTGGGAGTTGAGATGTTTGAGACTGATCAGTCGGTGTGCAAGGCCTCCGGAGAGACGCCAGGCAGTGAAAGGTAATTTGATCTTAAGATACTGATAGTTAGAGAAATACCCTGCTAAAAAGTATCTACTTAGACCATTTGCTTGCTGGTCCAGGATTCCAAATTTTATTAAATTCCAAGTTTATTAAAGAACCCCATGAAATGAAAACTAGAGTTTTGTGGATTTTTGATGGCATCCGAGTGTCATGGCCTTATACCTTTAGCCCATATATATATGCTAGTGTCTTTTTTTTACAGGACAACAGACCAAAATGCTGTTAACATATTTTTCACTAAGGCATATTCAAATGTTTGTCCAATAAAAATTCTCTCTAGAATACCACCTGCCTTTGACTAGCAATAGAAAATAATAAATCATGGTTCCTGGCTGTGATGTATACTAAATGCCACAATTGCTCATTTCCCTTCAGGTTTTTGGATGTCTACCAACCTCTCCAGTTGGGTGGGGTTAAAGAGACACACTCACTCCGTAGGTCACACCCCCATTACAAAGGATTTGTGGGATGTGTGAGGAACCTGGTGGTGGATAGTCAGGTAAAACCAGTGTAAATGTGTTTAGCTTTCTGACGGGAGTCTTGTCCAAAGCAAAATATAACTTAACAAAACAAATAAAAAAAGACTATTCTTAAATACTCTCAACTAACAAAAATGCAAAATTGACTATTACAGACTCCTTTTCTTTCATTGTGCAAGGGACTGTGGGAAATATTAGCCAAAAACACATGCACAAACGCACACTCCCAAATTTTTTTTGAAAAAAATAAATTAAAAATGTGGCATGTTGGCTTAATATTTAAAGCATACAATTTCTTTTCCTGGCTGAGATTAAGACAATGTTTTTTGGGTTCCAATCCACAATCTTTTGTTTGGACAGAACAGACGTTCACCTGAGCCACTTTCTGACAGCGTGTCGATACGGATCAATGAGGTTCAGAATTGTGCTGACTCAGGCCTTTCTGTGTGCATGTGTCTGTTTTCTGTCAGGTGTACGACCTCGGCAGCGCAGCAGAGAGCAAGAACAGTGCCCCGGGATGTGCCCTAACAGATGGTGTGTGTCTGACCACTGGAGGACCCTCCTGTGGGGTCCATGGGAAATGTCTGGGGGAATGGGGCTCCTTCAGCTGTGATTGCCACCCTGGATATAGCGGACACAAGTGTGACAAAGCCCTTCCTGAGTGGTCGTTTGAGAAGGACGGTGTGCTGAGGTACCAGCTGAGAGGTGGAGGAAGTCCACGCAAAACCCAAGCGCACTTCCTGCTGAGAACCCGCTCCTCCATGGGCAGCCTGCTCAGCATGGCCTCACGTGACGCCAACGAGTTCATTATCCTGGAAGTGAGTGATACACATGAATGCAATTACATCTAGTGCAATAGCATTCATTTTAAGCATCCCTTATATGTCCAAATACATCTGAAAATGTTTTAAAGCTGTAACGCTGTGTCATGTTCTTGTCTCTCAGATAGTAGATGGGTACCTCACTGTCCGTGCTAACCTTGGGGACTGCACTCACTCTCTGAAGTTAGCAAGTCATCGCGTGAACCACGGCCAGTGGGTCTTCCTCAGCCTTCATCGCCATGACAACATCTTTACCCTGCGACTGGAGCAGGGTGGGGGTTCACGGGAGGTCACAGGGGTCCTGGGTCAGAAAAAGGAAATAGTAGTTCACCCCTCCAGTGTGTTTCTGGGAAACAGCGCCACTCCAAATACACAGGGAGACTTTCAGGGTGGGTTTTCTCTTCCCTTTCCCCCCTCATTGCTGTAATCCAGTAGCTGTGTAATGAGTGAAATTATGCACAGTCAGGTGCAAAATAAACCAGATGATCAAAATTACAGTTCCATTTTAAAATTACAGTCATTGTAAAGTCCAAGTGCACCGCTATATTGGCTAGTGAAAAAATACATAGTAAACCTTTAAAAAAAAAATTTAAATAAAAAGTAAAAAAGTACAAATGACTCTTTCAAATAAAAGTCATAGTAACAAATATAAAATCTAAAAGTTGTATAGTGTTTTCACCATGTTTTTTTACCGTACAGGCTGTATGCGGGATGTAAGACTGAACGGTCACTCTCTGCCGCTGGATGGTCAGGGCACAGAGTTCAGTACTGTACTGAAGCGCCGTGGGGTCGTGCCCGGCTGCCACTCTGACGCCTGCAGTGCCAAACCCTGCCTGAGTCCACTGTACTGCGTCGACCTGTGGAGGAAACACGAGTGCAGGTGAACACTCTCTCCCACACGGTTTCCCATTGTCAAATGCCTCTTCCTTCATTTCAACGTCTGCTCTCTCACTCCAGGTGTCCAGCCAATCAGGTTGCAGTGGTGGATGAGGTCACAGGTCTTTTACATTGCGCCCCGTCCCCCTGCGGCCCCACCACATGTCGTAATGGTGGCACCTGCCTGGCTCACTCCACCAAGAGCTACCAGTGCCGCTGTCCAGAGGGCTTCAGAGGCCAGTGGTGTGAGATCGGCCGGGTCAAATCTCTCCATCTCACAGCGCTCAGTCCGAGCTCCATCCTAGCCATCAGCATGTGTCTGCTCGTCTTTTTTGGTAACTATCAGGGTATCATGGAACACTTTTCATGAAAAGCCTTGTAAAGTCTTCATTATCAATGTGGAACCATGATGAGACCCTCTCATTTTGCGTCAGTTAAGAAAGCTGTCAGTAGAGAGCCAACACACAGAGGTAAGAATGATGAGGCAGGCCAGTCATCTGTGTGTGTGTGTGTGTACACCTCAGACAGGTACAACAATGACGTGACAGGCTGGCAGTGCCCTCCAGGCCTCTCTGCCAGCTCTGACACTCCGTCAGCCACATCACAAGCAGACACACAAATCCTTTTTAAAGCATTACTGCATGCAGGCAGGAAGAAATCACTCATCAACTGAAGCAAAAATGAGAAACGTGCTGCCAGATGATGGGATTGGTTGGGCTTATGGCCTTCAGAGAAATTTGGCAGAAAATGATGGGTTATTTTTTGATTTATCTGTCTTTAATTGAAAAGAGGAGTCTTACCATCCATGAACTGGCAAGATGACATGAGCTGGTGGAACATGTCAGACTTTTGCACTTAAAAAATGAAATTAAAACTGATCCTGTTTACTTTTTTACTTTTTTTGTGGATGATTTACATATTGTGCACGTTATTCCAAAGACGAAAATCTTTCAAAATCTTTGTAATCTTTCATCAAAATATGATTTTTTCTATCCACCTCACAAATCTGGGATCCAAAATCTTATTTAAACCTGTAAATAATTTAATTTATAAATATTATTTGTAAATATAATAATTTGTCAATATAAATTGTTAATATTTTGTACTGAATTACACTACCATTCCGAAGTTTGGGGTCGGTATGAATTTTTTAATGTTCTTAAAAAAAGTATCTTATGCATACCAAGGCTGCATTTATTTGAACAAAAATACAGTAAAAACAGTAATATTGTAAAATATTACTACAAAAAAACGTTTTCCATTCATATATTATATATCATATATTTCATATATTTTAAAATGTAATTTATCACTGCGATGACAAAGCTGAATTTTTAGCAGCCATTACTCCAGTCTTCAGTGTCACATGATTCTTTAGAAACCATTGCAATATGCTAATTTGCTGCTCAAGAAACATTTCTTATCGATTTTGGAAACAGTTGTTCGAAATATAAATATTTTGTAACATTATAATTGTCTTTACTGTCCCTTCGATCAGTTTAGTGCATCCTTGCTGAATAAAAGTATTCATTTCTTTAATACTTAAAAAAATAAAAAAAATAAAAAACTTACTGACCCCAAACTTTTGAACAGTTGTGTAAAAAAAAATGCAAAAGAGAAGCATTTTCATTAATTGTCTTAAACTTCTTTAGGACCTCTTTGCATGTCACATTATGGAAGTAAAATGTGTTGCAAAGGATTTGCCGTCATTTACCTTAAGCATCCACACTTCAACAAAAATATACTTTTAATAACTGGTGTCATCATTCTTGTATTAATCTCTCTCTCTCTGTCCTCTGCAGCCGTGCTTGTGACGGTGACCGTATGGAATCAGAAGGGCAGTCGGAATAAGTTCCGCAAGCGAGGTGTTTACCACATCCCAGCGGAGCACGAGAGCTGGGAGGACATCCGGGAGAACATCCTCAACTACAACGAGGAGGGAGGAGGAGAGCAGGACCAGGTATTCCATTAACACAGGGCAGCCAGAGGAGATATTGATTTACTTTCAGGGGAATGACCTCCATCAGCATCTACACTGCAATGCCATCATCCTCTAGGTGGCAGCATTCAGCTCTTTAGAATTTCAATCTGCACAACATGATTGACACAGAATAGAATACTAGCATGCAGTCTACATACTGCCTACTGTTCCTCATACAGTTCAAAAGTGTGCTATATTGTTGTCACATGACCTCTTACAATGCATTTTTTTACAATGCATGGAAGTCATAAAGTGGCATTCTATAGCACTTCCCCAGAATTAAAAGTGTCGCCTGTGTGTCCAACAGAACGCCTATGACATCACTGAGCTGAAGAGGCCGCTGTGTTCCAGCTTGTCCCAGTCCTCCTCCTGTACCACAGCCCCCCTCATCAAGTCGTCCCAGGGCTCTCAGGAGGAGGTCCATCCCTGCGGAAACATCACCAATGGAGTCACCCTTCCCTACCACCACAATGCCAGCTGCAGCGGTCACTGCTCCATGGACTTCAAGAGCTACGTGTCGCGCATCATCTGGGAGGCTGACAATGACAGCCTGGCATTGCCCATGGACACCTACCACGTGTACTGCATCGAGGGAATGGGCTCCAGTGCGGGCAGCCTCAGCTCGCTGGGATCGGCCATTTCAGAGGAGGCCTTCACCTACGACTCCCTGCGGCACTGGGGCTCCAAGTTCGAAGCCCTCAGCGAGCTTTATCGAGGACCGGAGCTGGCCGTCCCCTACATGAACACGGTGCAAAGCCAAAGCCAGGAACAACAACAATAACTGGACGACTTCAAGCCCAGCGTTTGTTTTTGTGTTAGTGTTTTATAGCCTTTATAGGGTTCCAGTTTGAACGCTACAAAAACGTGTCCTAAGAAATGGTTTCTGTTCATTTGTGATAGTCACACAGCTTTAAGGGTGAGGAGCAGCTGAGGTTAGAGAAATGTTTTGTTTTATTTATTGAGTAAAATATTAAATGTACTGTATTTATTTTTGCTCTGATAGGGAACAAAGCCAGTGAATCATCAGGACTTCGCCACCATGAACATGGTATATGGTCACATCCAGCGTGTCACAACTAAGGTGCGTTTCAGTAAACACACGTGACTAACATTGCGTTCCATCTGACTCCGAAATTTCCAGCTTGCTTAGTGGAAATGCGCATTAGAATGCCACTTTATGTAAGATTTCCATCTTAGAAGCTTGCGCGGAACTTTGATTTGCCAAAATGTGAATTCACACTACTGTTCAAAAGTTTGGGATCTGTAAGATTTTTATTGTTTAAAAAAAAATATATACAGTAAAACATTAATATTGTGAAGTATTATTACTTTTTAAAATAACCTTTTTTATATTTAATATATTTTTTAAAATGCAATTAATTCCTTTGATGGCAAAACTGAATTTCTAGGATTTTTTGATGAAAAGAAAGTTCAAAAGAAGAGCGTTTGAACAATGTAATGTGTCTTTACTGTCACTTTTGATCAATTTAGTGCATTCTTGCTGAATAAAAGCATTAATTTCTTTTTTTTAAATAATAATAATAAATCTTACTGACCCTAAACTTTCACTTAAACAGGGTTCCAATCTTACTGGAAAACCAAAACAAGCAAACAAATAAATAAATAAAATACAATTTTAAAGCATTTCTTAGGATAGAAAATACTTAATTCATTAAATTCTATAAAATCTCCAACAAACCATCAGAATTTAAAAAAGTAATAATTTAATTAAATTATTAAAGTTATGATAAATTACTGGAAAACTAATGTCATGGAAATTGCACAGAAAATTTTGATAGAAAGTGTGGGAACGCTGCTTGAACATGACCCAGTTAACAATAAACATTCACTGCATCAATGAGACACATTTCCTACATTTATACGCTGATGAAACCTGTTTAGCAGAGTTTTGCACTGACAGGTGTGTAAAACACTAAATGATCTTTTCCAGATCATCATACACCAGCACAGCCATTTTGTTTCTTTATGTCATTGAGAATCAGACCACAGAACACGGTTTTATGGTCGGAAGTCATAGAAATGAAATAGATCCTACATCCGCCTTTGAATGGAGCGCAGCATTATTCCCAGCAGTTTACTGTTTAGGGTGTAATGTTTTATAAATCAGCACTTGACCAAAACTCTCTTGTTACAATGGACCCAGCTGCACTAGTGATGGATGCCCACTTCTGAATTTTAACTCTGAAGCATACATTTGTCAAAAGAGGGTCATGAAGACACCAAAAGACTTCACGGGTGACTGATGTGCCAATGAATCACGCATCCGCTCATGCAAAAAGAGCATGAGTTACATTACTTTCAGTCAGTGGGAGTATAAATCTGCATTCTGCCATGAATATTCATTGTGTAGGTTTTTTTCTTTCTTTGTCTTTTTCATATGAGGGACGTAGTGTATGATGCCAATCATTTCTGATGCTGGTGTGCTGAAACGTGGCGACACTATGGTCTGTCACAACACCAGATGGATGTATGGTGTATTGAGTAGCCGAGTCAAGACTCCACTGTGTCAAAGTCTGTTTAAAAAGTTCAAATGTGGCCAGACAGCGCAAATACAATCATTAAAAAAGCTTATGAATATTTTAAATTGCAATGTAATTACAAAGGTTCTGTATAGTTCTATTTTTATTGTTGTGAAACTAAATTTGCAGGCTGCATTTTGTGAGAACAATGAGTCATAAGATTGTTTTTTCATTTAGGTTAGTCCTCTAATAAATGCTCAGCAAAACCTGTACAGAGACATAAACTAAGTCGAAGACTTTTTTCTGGAGAGGTCCGGGCAATGTCACTTCATGCCTCTTGTAAAGCTAACAAGAGCACGAGGTCGTTGCTACAGTGGCGGATAGTTGACTTGAAATGTTCCTTTCAACCCCTCACAGACCTGTGCTGCTCTTTGTGCCATGTAAATAATGTACATAAAGAAATACTTTTTCTAGGGACTTAACATTTTCCTTTTTGTATATGAATTTTAATAAATGAAATGTTTTCTTTGATCAACCGTGAGAGCGTAGTTATTTTGTGTAGTTTCCTCATCCTACATTTGACGCCTCAATGTCGCTGATTTTCTTTTTTGTGTTGTTTTACTGCCACCCAGCGGTGACTTACAGTAATCACAGGCTGTTTGTTTTTTCTGCATTGTTTGCAGTAGCTTCGTGATCTCTAGTTTCCTGCTAATTTCGGTCCTTTATATTATAATCTACCTCATTTCCATGAATTTTCCAGCCTTTTTAAAACTCCCAGATATTTGAACCAAGTAAAGTTTGCTCTCATTCTATTACATCCTTTTCTGAACCTAGATCTGTAAGAGAGCCATAAATTATCTTATCAATTTCCTTTTTATTCTTGACATGCTCCTGTTCTGCACCTATCAGACTGCTCTACTAGTCTTTGTTAGCAGTTGTGTAGGTCAGTATAAAGCTCAGTTGAGATCAGTTGAACAGGTAGAGTGAATGTTGTTGGCAGCTGGTCAGTCTCGTTTCTTTTAATTTGCTATCTGTTCTTCTTTGTGGTAATATACAGTAATATAATTTTCTACTTTGTCTATCACATATATTTTACTATATTTCTCTGGTTTGTTTTTTTTAGCTACATAAGTCTCTTTAGTGGGTATCATGAAGTCTGACACATTTCTGGTTTATCTTCATGACCTTTCTGACACCTTAGGTTCTGCTTTATTAAATGTATTTATGCGACATATATTATGTGTATTATGTTTTTTGTTATACACACACACACACACCCACACACACACATTTATATATGCTCCATCTGTCTGAAAGTTCTCCAAGCAATCATAATGCAGTGGTATGTGGGACACATCATTAAAAGTAAAAGCATGTAGTTTGGAGTGGGTTCTTTGTCTCAGAGGTTCTTGCAGGGGGTTGGGAATTCAGGGGTAGGAAGCCCACTGAGGAGGGGACACTCGTTCCCAGACCTACACAATAACTCGCACAACAAAAGCATTGTAAGGAGAGTCCATATCTTCAACGCCAGCCACATGTCTGGCCACTGCATAAACACATGCATCCTCTCTGCTTGAGGAACTCTTTGCAATATGTAACAAAATGGCAAGAGACAATTATCCAACTCTAACAATGAGAAAAACTCTTTACCAAAGAATTGAGCTCTAATAGCTAGCGGCTTCTGCAAATACTCAAAGTTGAGTTGTTTGAGTTTCCTGTCAAAGATGCTCCACACATCGTATATCAAAAGGTGTTCATCTTTATAGTCTTTCCTCTCTGTTTATCTGGAGGTGAGGACAGCAACATCTTTTTTTTGGGAGACCCAGATGTAAAAACGACACCTCAACACCCTCATTAGGACAATTTGCAATTCAGATTTGTCAGTCTTAATGCTTTTCTTTTGTTGTCACTCCACCGAAAGGTACATCACCGCCTCCCCATCATACTCGCATGCTATAGAGTCAATAGGGGACCGACAATGACTTCACGTTAGACCAGACAGCAATGTTTGTGCATTTCTGTATAGAGATTTTCTAAATTATCATTGTATGTAAAAATGCTGTGAAACCGAGTTCAAAAGTTTAGGGTAAGTAAAATATAAGATATGTAATGTAAGATATCATTTCATTTTTTTAATAACTTCACACTGGAAATTACACATTACAGAGTCTTGAAATTGTTATTTATACACATATTATGTACAATTCATAGTACATTTCTACACTGTTCTTAAATCAACAATGTAGATAACATGACTGGTTCAAGTCCAAGTCAAAATTAATTCAAGCTATGCTACAAACAAAAGGCATTGAATTCATAAATAGCAAGCACCTCAAATTATTAAATATGCCTTTGGCATCGAGGAACAAAATTGCAATTCAATTACAAAGACAAATCTATATGAAATAAATATGCAGTTTGCTTAAATTCAGTTTGGTAAACTCACTTCTGAGGTGTGAAAACAGTCAAGTCTTACAGGAATATCTTCTGTCGCAGGAGAATGAAAACAAGGGAATGACATTCACAATGATGTAAAGGTTTAAGGAAATAAGCCAATAACCGATTCTGCTCGTTGTGCAGGGTCGTCCTGTTTAGCGGAGTTTGCACCACTGGGTTGGCATCCGACCACACTGATGCCAAAATTAAGAACATACGTTTCACATCATACGTTTTCACGCACACACACACACATAATAAAATTAAATTGTATTTACATAACATAAAACAGTAACATATGATCCATGAAGCAGCAGCATTTGTGCAGACCTCGGAGCTGGCAACATGGCCAGAAGCTCTTAAGCAGTTTCAGTCGGAGATCATTAATGTTTCATTTCTAGCTTCAGAAAATGGATATGAATCCATTTCTTTGATGGAAGGCACTTTTGAGTGCTTCAAATACTGCTTTGGGAAACCAAACTTAGGTTCTCCCTCAATTTCACACCTGAACATCTGAAGGTTACAGCATCTCAACCTGGATTCAATACCGCACACAACTCCAAGTCTCTGGATGTGTTGGTCTGGAAGGTCTCTCACATCTCTGGGCTGTGACTGCATTAAATGAAGACTAGCTATGCCAGGTTCTTCTCAAGCCCATCAGGCATTTGCAGGTTTCTCAGTGCTTTTAGGGGGGGTCAATATTCCGGCTACAGCCAATGGAGACATCCGGTCCAAGCTGTCCTGCTGCCGATCATGTGCTTCACTCTGAAAAAAAAAAAAAAAGGATGTGTTAACCAGTTGAATCTCAAATAAACCTGATCGAGGAGACGATGAAAATGAGAACTCACCAGCATGGTCAGATAGTCCACGTGGGTCTGTATGTTGTGTCGAGCTTCTGCCGCCACCTTTTTGAAGTCCTTCAGCTGTGGTCTGGGCCATTCACGTACGGCCCGTGCAAACGGGTTCATCCACCGCACACAGCTTGATACACTGTCCCATGTGAGTCCTGGTGGGGAAGAAAAAGAAAATACTTAACAAAATCAATAAACTGATGAAACAACTTAAGCACAAAAAGGTCAGGGTTTCTGCAAGCTTTATGAAGGTTAATTTAAGACTTTTTAAAAAGTAATAAATTAAAGGAATCACAATAATCAAACCGTTTCCTGTACCTTCTGATTGCATTGCAAAAACCATGTTCTTTCTCAGTATTTTTGTTTTGTTTTCCAGCGCAAAAGTCTAAATATTTAACAAATCAAGATACATTGAGAAGCAAAATGACAGAAGATAAGTATTATTTTCTGTAAAACTGATCAAAATTAAGTGAGTTTTACAATTAAAACTAGAACAAATCTGCTGGAGTCAGAAAGTACACTTGATTCAAAGGGAAAACAAGTTTTCATTCCCACTGACAGATATTCTTGTTTTAAGCATAAACTCACTTCATGTTGTTCAGTTTCTCAGAAGATCTTCATTTTGCATCTCAATTAAATTGATCTTGATTTAAGGATATTTAGATATTTAGATATAGAGCTGGAAAAACAATACAAAAATACTGACAAAGATATTCATTCTTTGCCGTGCATGCAACATTTAATGAAAAAGACTTTCGGCTCCAGTTTAAGACCTTTTAAGGCCTGCAGAAACCCTGGAAATCCTTAAAGGATATCCAAGATCAGAAAGCTCACCTGATACTTTATGGACCGTTTCAAAGGAAGTAAAGTGACAAAACGCAGCAGCAGCGAGGACTCCATACTGGTAATCCAAACAATGAATGTCCAAAATGCAGAGATCCAACAACTGCAGAGAGGATTCATGAGTCAGAAGAGGTGTCAAGATAACAAAACAACTATATACATGTTTACTTCAAAGGAGCTCAAGTCTCACCTGTGTGATTTGGATGTAGGTTTCCTGCGAGAACTGAGGAATGAGGAAATTAGCATCGTCCTTCAAAGAGTCCACTTGGGAGTAGAGCTTCAACCATGAGATGACGGTCTCAGGACAGAGCTCCCACTTTAATGCTTTCAACATCACAAGCTCTTTAGCAAGAATCTCGTCCTCATTGCAGGCCCCATCCGTCACATAAGCAAACTCCTGGAGCTTTGGCGGGTAAATCTCCTGTCAAACAGACATACATTATGAGATAAACAGCACCACAGAGTTCTGTTGTGTTTCAGATGACCTGTATTGTCATTAACAAATCTGACAGAAAATATCCTAGTTCTGTAAAACCAATTCAAGCTGATGTTAAAGTTGAAGTACCTCTATCTTTGAGGCTATGAAGAGTGATGTTATGCCGATGAACTGCAGGTGATCTTTGCCAATGTCTTTTTGAGTGAGCATGAAGCGATCAAAGATGTCCTGAGCCAAGTAAAATGTCTCCCGGTGGAGAGTATAAACTTCACTGACCTGCATAGAAAGAATTGAATAACAGATTAAACACACAAACAACCAGGTGACAAGAACAAAAACCCTTCATAGCTGTGAAAAAAAACAACAACACATACCTCCATGAGCCAGTCCAGCAGAATGGACCTCATTTTGGGCTGCAGGGTTGGATGTTGTTGGATGAAGCCCTTGTCATGTACATACTTGAGCTCCTTGTTCAGCATCTTTATCCACACATCATCTGAGCTGGCCCAACTGACAGGACAACAGCAAATTTATACCACACCGATCGGTCTGCACACGCAAACAAAGCCAAAACCTAGATATTTTAGGCAATATAGAAATCCTGGCCAGGACGCGTCCTGGGAAAATGGCACGTATGGTCACCCTACATTAAACCAGAGAGCAAGTACTGAATGATATTAAACACTCAACGAAACGCATTCAGGGGGGAAATTCTGCTTGCGTTTCGCAAAACGCTGGTGATAAAAATCTTCCAAAACTAACATTACATAACACAGGAAGTGTTTGAAGTGATGACAATAAATCAAGCCAAGTGTTTTTCACTATGATTCTGAATCAGTTTCCTCAAAGGAGCGAAAAGGGTAATAATGTTGTCAAGTGGTTTGTTTTATTGAGTATTATTTGTAAGAGACTTTTATTTATTAGCATTTACTTTCGCTTTTCAAAGCATGAGACGCTGTGATCATGTGTTACCTGAGGCATGGCAGCGGAGAGGGTTTCACAAAGAGGTTCTTGAATCTGAAGCACTTGAAACCAGAAAGATTACCGGTCTCCTGATGAACCTCCTTCTGAGGAGTCTCGATTAAGACACTGGGACTAATATCACCTTCAAAACACCGGTTCTAGAAAAAGAAAACATATGGTGTCACCACTGACATTTTATGAATAGGACTTAACCAAGTAAAATTAAACAAGGCATGAATAAGAACTGATTTAGATTACTCAGCATAGTGTTTCTTTTACTTTTCTTTTTATAAAATCTTGTAGGCCTAGAGCTTACATTATAGTTTACATTCAGGTTTGCTACAAAGGAATATCCTTTCAGGCATCAAAGAATATTTAATGCATATGAACTTTTACTAATACAGCAGCTGCCAAACAAAACGTTAAGAATACTAAAAAAAAGTTTTAGTTATCTAATTAAATAAAAGATTTTTTTCGCGGGCTGCTGAATAAAGGAAATAACCGCGGGAGGTTCTGCGCGTGACGTCACGGCGCGCTGATTAACCCAGTGACACCATTACTGCGCGTGACCGAACTACTGCATAATAAACAGACTGCTAGTGAAAAACTAACAGGCATTTCTTATACCGAATACAATCAGTCTGGCTCTTTTAGCTGCTTAAAAAATAATACGAATCATTTATAAATATACATAATACATATCATCGGCTCACCTGGATTTCATAGTGTTGTTTCTTAGCTGCTGACGGGATTCTTCTATTGCACTGCTGAAAAAAGGTTTAGGATATTTAAATATTTGCATACATTGTGAAGAAAATAATTCACAGCTGTTTCAGTAACGTAATATTTAAAACAAATCGTAATATCTCACCTCGCTTTTTCTTTTCCTCTGTGGTTTATTTTGTTCAGGTGCATTTTCATTTCTTTCTTGTAATGTGTTGCGACTACTATTAAAACACAAAAGTTATTACAAAAATAAGTAACGTTATTGTGTTTTTTAGGGCTAGCCAAGTCAAACATTCGACAAATTCAACGAATCAAACTAATCATTCTTACCTGCGTCTTGACATTTTCTAAACAAATGGTGTGCTTTTCTCCTGTGAAACAGAAACACACAATGTTTAGTTACACTGTGATTAACAAAGAACTTCTTAAGCCTGAATTAAAAAATAATGACGTAACGTTAACCACATATCTCAAACGTATAATTAAAATAATAAAGCATAAGAGAAATACTGGCAAAAAAGGCTTAACGTTAACAATAAACACTCAAGCTTCAGCCATTTGACCAGAGATGAGTACATACGTGACCAGAAATATCGAACACATTTTTATAATTCATACGAATTAAAAATCCGTTAAAGTCGAAAGGCATTGAGAGCAAATTCAAAGTCTACACAAGCAGCAGTATGATCATCTGTTTTTACTGAAACCAGAAATACATGATCCAGTTCTGTGGGTTTATGAAAGGACAGTCCGCGCCAATTTACACGAAGCGGGAGACTACAACTGCCCCCACAAAAACCCATCTAAGATCTATTTAAAGCGCATTAAACACCAGTTTAACAGAAAATACTGTTTAGGTAACCCCTTGGTGTGTGGAAAACCCATAACACTTTCCACAATATCAGGTATTTTCCCAATTTCTGAAAGAGTTCAATACAAATGCACGTCCACGTACATACAACGACCCGATCTGGCGCCTAGCAGAGACAGCTAACTTTCAGCAACATCCCCACTCTAAAGTCGACATTACATTAAACTTTAGCCTAAGAGATACTTCGAAACACATTCATTGCGCTTTCGACCTAAATAATCTAGCTAAAACAGTTGTTTTTAGGGGTCCCGAGGAGATCTTCGTCTCTAGTCGTAGATGACTAAGTTAGTTAAAAGGCACTAACTTCCGTTTTAAAGCAAAAGCACTATTCTTCATAAAGCGTGATTACGACACGAGTTAACGACGTAAAATTAAAATAAAAAAGATTATAGGTGAAAGAAGACTAAAATATGTGTCCTTACCGCAGTGTTCAGTGCAAATGAATAAATGAATGGCGCCAAGTGTTATATATTGTCCAAGCGGATCGCAGCTACTGCGCATGCGTGGCGCTCTTTTCATCCTTTAAAAACAACTCGGAAAAACTATGTATAACGTTGTGTTTGGGGGGCTAAAAATGACCAGGCAGCCTCATTGGTGATGGTTCAAAAAAATTTGCATGGAATTACAAACGATAATGTTGACTGTTTGTGAGAAACCTATGGGAATTATTGTGGTTTGTAGACTTGCTTTTGGCCGAGTCGACCTTTGGTTTAAATATGTAAAAAACGCGCTTTCCTGCTTTCCCGGTTAAACGAATCCGGGGCTCGAGGACCTAATGCATCATATGCGAGTAGGTTTGTATGTTAATTATTGCATTTATATGAAATTACGACGAGTTTTCGACTCTAAGGAGACGCTTCCTAGTTTGACAGCTTATAGTGGGCGGAGATTTGAATCGTTCTGGCCAATCATGGTTATTCTGCGAGAAACAACGTGCTCTTGTAAACAAACCCATGAGAGGTTCTTTATTCTGACAGGCAATGATAAGCGTATTGAAAACGTTAATCTTATCATAATATTAGTTGCATTTCACAATCATAGATGCCAATTTATCAACCAAAAGCCTTTTTTGTTCTTAAAGAAATTATGTTCGAATTTTGTGACAAGGCTTTTTTTATGTCTTCTAGCCACTGGTTACATTGTTATATTGATTTGAGCATAAAAACAAAAATGACATGAACACTCTAACATACATTTTACCGCTTTTGCACCCGGCAATTGAAACAATAAAACACAAGGGAAAATACAGTTCTGTCCATGCAAGATCAATGTGACAGCTTTACTTAAACACGTAAGCAAGCAAAATTGTATTGCTTTAACCTTTTGAAAGAATAATAATAATAAAAAAAAAAAACAGGAATACATTTTGGAGGGATGTGAAAGCTGCGCGAATTCTTCAAGCAGTAATTCCGCTCACCCTTTTGTGTATGTTAAATACGTCATATCCGGGGTGAGGCAAAATATTGCTACGCGCAACATATAAATAAATAACTTCTCCTTCACGTACTACATGACTTCCAAATGCAAAGATCCCCCAAATTCTATTGTGCATTAACATTTACAAAACAAAGTTCTTAGAAGTCTGAGGAACTCACTGTGAGGACTTTTCCAAACAATTCACTCAGTACAAAAGCTACTACCACTGTGAGAAATGAACTTTCTTATTAAGAATTTATTAAAATGCATTTTAACTTGTGATGGAATAACATTACGTTCCCCTGGCCATATAAAACTGTGTATCACCCAAGTATTAATTGAAATACATTGTTGATCTAATAGAGAGAGAGAGAGAGAGAGGCATCAAGTACTAAATCAGTTACAATAAAAATCTATAAGTCATAACAAAAAGCAAATATGGTATATTTAGATTTTAGCTAAACATTCAACATTGCTGAGAGACTATAGGACTATACAAGCTACAGGTCACTAGGCACTAGAGAATTAGGAATCAATATCATAAAATATATAAAATGTTAGATAACAGAAAAACAAAAATCACTAAAGCATTTTCCCAAGCATTTTAAATATATTGAGCATTTTTGACCCTGTCAGCATGTAACCCCAGAAAGCCCCAGTGCATCAAGGAGAACAACGAGGGCACGATTAAACTGGTACAGTTAGAAAACTACTTTATTAAGGTTAATACCCACACTGGTACAATGAATAATAGGCTTGCAGTAATCATGGCTTGATTCTTTAGAGATTAGTTGGGTTGAGTTACAGGTTGGTATGGGTTCTTGAAATGCTCCTGAGTGGAAACCTTTCATTATAATTTGGTGTGGTGATTAAGTTACAGTATAAATTATGCATGATGGCAGAACATGCTAACACCTACCTAGTCTATAAGACTTATGTCATTATATTTTAACATTTCTGTTTACTAATAGAAAAGGCCGAAAACTTCATTTTGTATTAAAACATTTATTGAGAAGGGAGTATACATAATGATAAATAGTTGGTTTTGAGACATATGAAATGAACAATTTATTTGCAAAGTATACTACTCATATAAAACAGTCTGTGTATGACATGTACCAAAACATATCAGTTCAAGAAAAACATAAATAAACAATGCTAAATAATGCTAAAACCCTACACTTTTGGCAAAGTGCTGCATTATTCCAGTAAACAAAAAAAAGGGGGGAAAAAATTCAACCAAAGCATATCTAAAACTTACCAATGCCACAGAGAATTTTCTTTACACATTAAACACAGAAAACATTTGCTACATTTCGTGTAAAAGTTGACAGAGCAAGTGGCTCACAGAGACAAGGTAATCCTCTGTGCATAGTACAATTACATTTGTTTGTGTCCCTTTGGACAAAGTTCAAGTTCTTCACGGATGCATTGTCATACTGTTCACCTGGAAGGCACATGATCCCCAAATGCAATTCAAGGCAAAATGAAATCCCTGTTATGAATACCAAATATCAGGCGTCTACTGATATAGGGAAAGAGGGCCTCTTACATCCCTTCCATTCCCTTCGTCCACAGAGAAAAATGTCAGAAAATGCAATATACTGCTCAACACAGACTGCAGCAAGCAAAAAAAAGCTGTAGGTGTTTCCCTTGAGTTGCTCATGCATGTAATATGCATTCGACTGAATGTCAGAGTTACTGAATTCAGTTTCATTCATTTAGGGGAGACATTTACCTTGGCAGTGTCACCGGAAATTTACAACACCAGGTCGCACGTGATAAAGGAATAAAGAGTAACAAACAAAACCTACGACAAATTTTAAGTTCGTTGCTACTTTAAAAATTTCGCTCAGCAAATATATTGTGTAACTAGTCAAATAAAACATGAAAAGGCATATAACAAAAAAGGTCACTACAAATGAGAAAACTAAAAAAAAACAATGTAAATGCTAACAGTTTCACTCCATCGTCAAAGGTTTTAACAGTCAATTAAGAGAAAGTGTTGTTTTCACAGTCCTCGTCGGAGCAAGCTTTCACTCAAAGTGTGAGACACACGTTATGTTAAAGATTTACATCAATTACAAATATTTCCACAAGGTAACATACACATTGATAAAGTTAGAGGTTCTCCAGTATGTACAGAGACAATTTACCGTCTGCAAGTAATCTGCATTTTTAGCAAAGAGCAAAGGTGAACAGTGATGACCCTGAGACATGTACTGCAGATTTATAGCAAACATGAAAATTAACATTACAACACTTGATGTCTTTTTTTTTGTTGTTGATTTTTCACCTTTTGGAAAATTAGCACTACACAGTCATACATCAAATCAGTCACTAAAGTCACTCTAAAAATAGAAAACCTGCTTACATACATATCTATGCAGATAACATACACTCTTATCAACTTCATACTGATATGTAATATATTCAATTTTTTTTTTTCTTTTGAAAATATTTTGGACGTTTTTTTTTAAATACATTTTACATATTTTGAAATCTACTATGGAAACAAGGCTTTTAGTGATAATAAACCCAGTATACTTTACCTTTTTTTTTAAAGAGAAAAAAAAAATCAAAGAGCAAGAAAGTACTGATCTACAGAATCACAGGCAGGTTCCTTCCTAACCAGAAAAGTGCTGCTGATGATTTCATCACTGATGTGAACGAACTTAGTATGGCTTTAAAAACAAACAAAGCAAAGACAAGTTAAAGGCATTGAAAGTGCCAAGCTGCCTACAAATGCTCAAACAGAGCACTACAACATTATGCTCACTATAACAAAACACTTGGTTATTCAACCTTCATGACACATAACATAAGACAGAACCTATCAGATATAGCTTATAAAGGAAACATGACGCAGACACATTCAGGTCGAGTGGAAACTGCTGTGAAGTAAAGTGACCTATGGCATTGATTCTAAAGGACTCCATTCCTTCTGGCGAAAGGCCAATTCTCCCAGTGTGGAAGGGGTGGCGTGCAGGGGAGTGCAGTGGGGACTGTCTCAGTAGTTGTACTGCCTCTGTCCCGGCTGGTGAACATAGCCTCCGGTGGCTTTAGCCTGTCTGGCTCCACCGTCGCGCAGCAGGTTGAGGCGACGGAGAGCATTGCGGGACAGCTGCTGGCGCTCCACGTTGTCACGGATGCGCTGGGCCAAGCGGCCGTTCTTGGTCTGCTCCAGAAACCCGGCGTGAGCAGCAACCAGAGCGGCTGTGTAGCAGCCAGAAGGGTGACTGGGCCGGCGCTGAATGTCAGATCTGCAAAGCCAAACAGAATCTGTGAGATTCAAATATTTCACATTGTTATAAAACATTACATGGCTCTCTGACATTGTTGATTCCGATTGGTCAGACGCAACATTGCAAGGTCTGGTGGTTTCGAAAGGATGATTGTTTTGTACATTGTAATGCATTATAACACAAACAGGTAAGTTTTTAAAAGTTCCAATTTAAATCAATATTTCATTTCCACATAATTATTTATTTGGTTAAAAGCCATGTAATAAGTTGTATGACTGTACATTACCTCTAAAAATGTTTGTCTTGGCTTAAAGCAGCTTGCTAGGAACTGTTTTACTTTGTGAAAGATTTGAGCTAATAAAATATTTCAACTCAAAAAAATATTTCATGACCATTTATTTACTTATGTGGCAAGTATCCGTGTAATAAGCAAGATAATGTACATCTAGCCAGTTGTTATCGCAAATTATTACACTGCGCTGTGGAATACTTGATTCTGATTGGGCAGTCGCAACATTCCGAGGTATGTTATCCCTCGGCTTTCTTCACGGAAGCTTTGCGTTTAAATATTTCAACTCAAATCAATATTTTGTATCTAATTATTTACTTATGTGGCAATTAACCGTGTAATAAGCGGGATAACGTACATCCGGCCGATTGCTATCGCAGAATAACCCCCTTCCATCCTGATCACCCTGTTGAGGGTTATTCTGTGATAACAACCAGCTGGATGTACATTACCCCTTGCATACAAAACTCTAAATCTGCCCTTTACCTTAAAATGGATGGCTCATGGGTGCCGTCCTTGGCAGGTCGTTGACGAGGGCTGTGAAAGGCGTACACAGACATGCTGGGATGCTCGATCAGTAGGTTCTCCAGAGGACTGGTCTCCAGCAGGACCGGAGCTCTGCCTCCAGCCATGAAACACGGCGGAGGGGTGATGAACCAGCTTTCTTCTAGCCCACATGTCGCCTCTAGATGTAAGAAGTTGCCGTCCTCTGCGTCAGTGTCTGCCGCCGAATCCAGAGAGGAACAGGAGGAGCAGCGCACGGGACAGTCCAGGGGAGCGACATCGCCAGAGCACACCTCCACCAGATCATCTCCACATGCACCGGAGCAGGCCTTCGCTACAGGAGCAGAGCGCAGAGAGCAGAGAGGATGTTACTACAGTTACTACAGTTTTCCTATAGTAATCAGTTCACAGGATTTGAACAAACTTGTGTCTATTACGTTTAATGTCAGTGTTTAACTTGTTTTGCACTGTTCACACTATTCATGAAACCCAAAACTCAGCATGAAATGGAAATTGTGATAGATTTTGTCTATCCGAGTGAAACGGCTTCTTGAACAAGAAAAAACTGTGGTGAGGGCACAATACTCCTTAAAAAAATAATATTTGAATATTTATTTCATGGTGACTTCAAACTTTTTGAAGCAATCTGAGTCTGGCAGACAATACAATGAGGGGAAAATCCCATTGACATTGTAGAAGTACTATATTTCAGCCAAGTCATATGCAGGGAGTAGAACATCATACAAACTTGGAATGCTGAGAAACCATAGTTCATCACTGGTTAATACTGAAAACATCTGAACATTATGGAAACGTTTGAAATATCTGCATCTATATAATTCAAGTATAACCAGTTCTATCGAAAGCAACTCATATATTTAGACAGAAACCGAGACAGTAAATATTTTAGCCTCACTTCACTTCTATTTGTACTCTTCGTGGCTTCTGGCAGGTAACCAAAAATGGTGTAAACAGCTGGGCAGAGCCACTGAGACGCTACACATTTAGTGGCCTCTAGAGGGCAGTGTAATCGAACAATCCTTCACCACTCCTAAACACTGCAGAAACTTGACAGCCTTCACATGAAGTTCATGTTACAAATTTGAAATTACAGTGATAACACCTTATATTTACACAAAATGTAACACAAGACCAACTAGTGATTAGAGAGTCCCACACCCATAGCATGATGCTATAGCACACATAGAACTTCTCTAGCACAGAGCCACACCTTGTTTATCTGTAGCCTTGCAGCATCCTGCCAGATGACATCAAACATATTCTCAACTCAGCTGGTTAAGAAGGCGTTAAACCCTCTTACAGCACTCTTCAGTGTCCCTGGGAAGCCAGTTAACCTTTAATCCTCTGACCATAATGGAAAAATACTCACTTCCATCCATCAAGCTATATGGATATGAAACAAAAGAAATGTTTTTAATCTCCATTCCCATCCTGTCTAACTCAGCCTTCAGGCAACGATTGATGTTTGTAATCATTCCGTGTTCAAGGCCTACTCGCTTTAAGTGTTTAAACGGTAACTTAATCTGTCCTATTTTTAATCGCAGACCCCACCATAGACACTTTTGTCTGACAGGCTAAAAGCGTTGTTGCCCATAAGCATGTCTGTCTCCCCCTATCCTAAAAAAGGGAACTGGACCATACAGATTGCCTTGCACCTGAAATATTCACACACATACACAATATGGGAAGGCCTGTATTTGGGCAGGCAGCTTATGAGAGGTATCATGTTAATGAGGGCATGACGTCTGTGCCAGGGGTCACAGAATCTGTAATACTGTCCTGCAGACCATCAGAATCAACTGAGGTGATCTAGGGTCGACTCATGAATAAGAAGACGTTTGCATACCCAATCTGCTCTGATTTCGGGGGAAAATAAGCAGAATTCTGTTGAATGCATTTAAAGTCTATGCAAATTGCCTTTTATTTCCATCATGTGACATTTGAGAGTAAAATGGGATATTCTATTTGAAAAACGAAAGGCAAAACTTGACTATATAAACTGGAAATTGATTTGATAAATTTCATGCCGACTTCAACATTATTTCATGGATGGAACGGCCTAAGTGACATCAGCAGAAAAAGAAAGTTGATTCAGAGGAAGAGCAAGTACATTTTGATTAAAGATTCTGAAGACACTGGAAATGGACAATTGGAATAATATGCACCAATGCTCACAATAAAGTTACAAACATGCAATAAAAAAGGTTACATATTCATTTTATGTTGACTTGAAATGCTGAGACTACATCTCTTGATTCTCATTCTCTTGATACGAACTGCCTGTTCATTTCTGCATTTAGGGAGAAGCTCTTACACAAGATCCATATTTCAGTTCACTAATCAAAAACAGGAAATGCAAGAAAGATCTCTCACCTAGATAATCGACCAGAATCCACTCATCGTCCTCCTCCTTCTCATTGAAGTCTGGATCCACAGGACATCCACTGCCCTCCTCCAGGGAGTCTCCAAACAAGATGCTGGTGAACCTCTGGAACATGGTGTTGTCCGGGGCAGAGGCGTGAGGTTGGATAGTCCTGCTGGGAGTGGGCGAGGGTCGGGCTCTTTGGTCATCAGCTGCGGGAGCCGCTCACTGAGATCTTGGTAAAGGTGCTGAAGTGCATTAGTTACTCCTTCTCAGCCGAGGAACACCTGATGAATTTCAGCCATAGCTCTTGTTGATTGTGCAAAAACAGGCCCTGGAGGATAATCAAGAAGATGTTGTTAACGAAAATGTAGACAAACTGACCAACTAAGTACAGAACATTTCCCGGTTCTGTCATGTTCTGTTGCGATTAGCCATAAATTACAGGTCATAAAATACAGACGGATATTCCTGAGAACAGACCAGCCAAAACAAAGCAGTCTAAAGTGTCTCTGCTGTCACAGATACTGCCCGTCTTCTTCACACAAAGCTGATGCCTATGAAAACTGATCTTTGTACAGATACACCCAGCCTCCTTCAGGACTATGACTCATGAGGGTCCCCTTTTCCGTTGTTTTGCTTACGACAACAAAGAGAGACAGCTGTGAAGTGAAGGACTACAAGCTGTTCTTCACCTCACTACATCATTAAAACAAGACAACCAATTCATACTCCCTTCCACCTGCTCATATAGTCATGGCAGCACTCTTTGTTTGTGTGTTTAGGGGGTTGGGGCTATTATGAGGTCACATACATATAATAATAAGCACCCTTCAGAACCCCAAAAAAGAGGATTATAGACTGACAAGCAGAGATAAGCAGGACTGGGATGGCCTTTGTGTCGGCAGCCCAGTGGAAAACTGCATTGCTGAGAGGTCACTATTTTAAAGCTAAGGAGACATAAATTAAATACACTGAGAACTCCATTATGTATCAACTTGGTTTTCATTATATAGGAGATCTTCACTACATACACATTTCTCAAAGGAAAAGCAGTCAAGACACTTAAGCAAAAGTCTCAATTTGCAGCCCATTTAATATCATTGTTGTTTAATTTTTTTCACATGGGAGATGTTCTAAAAATCATTATCATTAAAGAAAATGTCTACGTAACTCATGTAAATGTGGTGTAGACAGAAAATCACAAACTGGCATAAAAAAAATAAAAACTTGCAAAGTGCACATTTAGTTAATTGATGCACATTTAGTCCTTGATGCACTTATGTACATGACATGATAAAACGAAAAATGCTATTAAAGCAGAACATATTGGAACTGCACTTCCTTCTGAAAAGCCATCTTAAACCTGCCCAAGCCTGGTCAAAATGGTCTTCAGCTGGTTTAGCTGGTTTCCCCCACCAGACCTATGTGAAAATTGCCCAAAACCATTCTGAAACCAGTGCAGACCATCTTAGCTATTGTAACACTATCCTATTGCAGCGTTGAAGAGTTTTTTTTTTTTTTCTTTATTTGTTTATTTATTTTGCAGGCCCTAAACTGAGCAATGCAGATATTTCAATGTTCATTCACAGATATTGTTCAAACAGCTGGTCCATATTGGATAAAAATGCGAACATTTAATGTGGAAGCATAGAAAAAAGCATCAAAGCTAACATACATGGAACGCAGCAAAACAAGAACCTTATGCTTAAGGTGACATAACTGCTATATTAGACTGTTAAAATAATATTATTAACGTAGCCATGCATTGAGAAAGCATGCACCATCGTGCTTATTACAATCTGAATGATTGTACAGGTGCAAACATATAGGAAAGCTGCATTTGCTTGTCATATATGATGGTTGATTGACCCGCGGCGCACACACAGAGCCTGGCCGGGGGAGGGATGAGTGTAACCCTACACCGACCGACCGGGCGGACCGCGAATCCAAACGCTTCAACTGGCTCTGCTGAACAAAGCTTAATTCGTAAAATCCGAACATGCTCACATTGCAGAAACAAATAGTGAACTTATCAAATCGCCTGCAGGCTTTGACAGGTTGTGCTATGCAGAATGTCGACATATTCAAATGCATTTTTTCTTCTATTTTTTTTTTACATTTATATGTTCGACCAAAATTTCACTTTTCTTTTTACAACTTATACTGAGTAAATTTTGATAACACATTCGTAGTATTTAACTCCTGGACGTTTCTATAACGTATTAATGCAGAATGTCGGTCGATCAGCAACAAAGAGGTTTTAACTCACCTGCGGCAAAAAGTAATGTAAACAGGAAGAGGGTTGACTTCAAGAACAAAAACAGATCAGTTCAAGTGGTTGAGGTAGATTATTTGCCGTGCGATATATAAAAATATATAAATACAATTCTTCCCGGAAGAAGTTTCTGGACCCTTTAGTTCGGAGTTTCGCGGTCAGTTCCTTTTTCGTTTCTTCTCCGAGGTCTCAACTGCTCCCTTTGTTATTGTTGTGGAAAATTAACAGCTGATCGGTCGTTACGTAGCTGAGGACACCCTATGGGCGGGGCTTGCCAGAACCCTCTCAGCCAATGAAATGGCGCCCCTGACTATGACTGACTGTCACCAACGCACGTGACCTCGTCCCGGGAAAGGCAAGACCGGGCAGAGCACTCCACCCAGTATTTGTTGGGTTGTACGAAGATTTTTAAAATATGCTTTAAAAATAGAATGGTTTAATAAGCCTTACATATTGTCATCCTGACTTCTGAGTTGATTTTTGAGAATGATTTTGAAAGGGCATTATCATGTAAGTGATCAAATTTACTGTGGACAGAACTATAAAATCATTTGCAAGAATCTACTCACATTGCAACTGAAATTACTGGAATTTTTTCATGAAGTTTATCTTCAACAAAGCAGTGTTAGAACATTCTGATGGCTCTAAAAACTTTTAACTATGTTAATTTGTACCTTACACCGTTTTCATCCATCTAAACAAACTGTTAAAAGAAAGCAGCATAGGATTATGTACAGTCAGTCGTCGTTCATCATAAACCATGAAATAACATCATAAAAATGCATTAATTTACTTACCAAATAAATAAATGGACATAAAATATACATTAAATTTTTATTAGAAAAGAACATGATTACACAGCTTCATCGTATAAATCTATTTGACCACAGAATGGCACGACTGACCAATCAGAATAAAGTATTCTAGATAGCATCCAATAATGATTATAAGGCTCAGGCAAAACTGGGGTCATTTTGGGGTAAATTGTAAATGGTTTGTACTTTTTAGCCCTATATTGAGTGAAAATGTCTAGAACAAAACATTGAAATCCTCCCCATCATAGATGTAGGTCACCAGTTTTTTGGGAACAAAGCACTCCACCCCCTCAACATCTCAGATGGCTGTATAAGCCTGTTTTGCTAAGAGAGGCCCGTTCTAAGATTCAGCTATAGCCCATTTTCTGCCCCTGCTAAGACACTAGTTTTGAACAAAAGGACTTACACTGGTGAGTCAGCAGATCTAATAAAGCAAGCTAGACATGATATTGCATCATCCATATATTCAGATTAATGTACATTAATCTATATAGATAACATATAATCTAGACGCATTAAACACATATTTATAATCCCTAGTGTGCTTAATAAAAAATACCCTGCAATTGTACTTTTGGTATAGTAAACTGATATACTTAAAGTCTGCTAAATTGGAACAACTAATTTTGTGTAGTGCTGAGGTCCAACTTAACAAGATATACTTAATATTTGTGCTAAAGTGGAACTATAGCAAGTACTTCAGGTACACTTTAAATATCTTGCATTTAAAGACTGATATTATACAGAGAGCATACAATCCAGTGATATTAAAACACATTTTAGGCTTTGAAATGTGCAATAAAGAAATACTCCAAATAAAGCTTAATTATAAATGTATATCAGTAAGTCTTAAGTGATATGTCAACAAATATGTTAATGGATTTTAATTATACTTAAATATATTTTAAATAAATTATGGCATTACTGTATATACTACATAATTGTCTTCCCTCGAAATCAGACAGATGACCTTTTCATTGGGAAGGGGAAAAAAATTTAACTTTCTTTCCTGGTTTGGAGTTCTGTCTCTGACACAGCCCTTTTCTCACCTATTCAATCAGTCCACTTCCACTTTTTCAGACCACAACACTGGTCCCATTTATGTACAGGAGGGACAATCTTCCTGTTGGATATGTTCTAACCATCCATTTTCCACCGTAGGATGACGTGAGAGTGAATCAGCATTCTCATGTGCTGTCATCATGTTTTTCTTCTGTTTCTGGATATTTCATTTATTTACCCTCCAGAACAAGGCCACACCTGCTCACTCTGGGTTAAACCATAAAGATAAGCCACAACCCATGACCTCGACAGGCCTTGTCTCAAGTGGTGTCAGAACATTCTGTCATTTAACTAACTGATTAAAATGTCAGTCAAGAGTTTGTTGACTATTTGGAAAAGTAACTTTATGGATGAAGTGAGACTTTTTGCATGCTATTTATTTTTCTAAGCAATTTTTATAAAAAAAAAAAAAGGTTAGTATTTGATAAATTAAGCTCAAAGAAGCTCAAAGATCATAAAATCTGAGCAAAACATAATTCCACCCTAACTAGTCTTAAGATTTCTGATATGTTGTCTGAACTGATTCTTATGAAGCCATAAAAGAACATATTGTCCATTATATTCATTATGATTCCACAGCATTCCTGATATAAACAACATATTATCCACCGTCCACTGTTCAGAGGTCCACACTTTGACACTCTGATGTAATTCTGTTAATGTTTAGGGCATGTACCAAGCCTGTTGTGCAATAAACCATAGTCAAGTTATTTAATTTGACATAAAATGAGCAAATGAAAACAAGGCTGTGAGGAATAGTAACGCCATATAATCTCACAAATGGATGGGAGTTTTTGTGGTGGTCTTTATACAGGTTCAGCAGATATTTCCATATTGCGCAAGTGTAAAGCTCTGTTTTGGGGATTAGCCTACGTCTCTTTATATCAGGCAACCCAGTTGTGTTCCTCTGCGGCCAGATTAAACCTTGTTGTAGCCTATATATGCTCTATTCATTATTTTTTAGAAACCTCGCACTTTTCTACTCAATTTTAAACGTTGTAAAATTTTTAACAAATTAAGCGCGGTCCACTGCTGCACACGTGCCACAATATCGATACAGGGCCAGCTGTATCGATACTCGTATCGTCAAATCTCTGTGACGATACATCGTCGTATCAATATTTTGAACACAGCACTAGTTCATACATATATTCTCAGTGGTAACCTTTTTGTGAGTCATTCTTTGATGTGATACAAGCGTCCATGGATGATGAAACTAATATGTCACAGAATCTTTGTGGCATTTCCAGAGCCTCTTTTTCTTGACGCAACTAAAAGTCAAAAGCGGAGAGTGACGAAAAGATTAATCACAAAAAGTACACAGACATGCTCTCTGAAATGACCTGGTTTATACCTGACACTTAGGTTAAACAAAGCAGACTGAAAAATCAAACACATTGCATAAACTTAAAATGGCTCCAAAATGTATTTGGAGGATACGAGACTGTCACACATTAAATATCAAATTATCCATCAAAATGACATTTATTTTCAAGAAATACTATATCACAAGCACACTGGTTACATCTCAAATAATAATAAACACAACAAAGGAAAGCAGCATTTGGGCACTTTCTGGACATGTCAAATAGTTCATGTTATGAGCTACACCTGTGAACTTGAGTTGAACTCAATAAAATGTACATAATTTAAGTGTGGCTTAAGTTATGCAACTCTATCTAAATTTCTAGTATACAGCCATTTTAAGATCTAATGCCAACCATAGTCACAAATGTTACTAGAAAGCACTGCACTGAAGGACAAAACATCTGGAATGCATATGTAATTTATGTACATGGTCCCAAATATTAAGCTAGTGACCTCATTAGGAGAGTTCACTTGAAAGAAAACCGGTCTGATACCAACTGTACCACTGTAATCACTTTGTAACTCATTAGAATCCTCATCTAATATATATATAAGTTGAAAATGAGAAGGCAGATTGAAACTTAGCATCTAAAGCGCCTAAGGCCCATGTGTGACTGTTAGGGTGGAGGGAGATCAAGTGTTTGATGTCATACCAAACACTTTAAAGCATGCAGTAAAATAGTTACAGCATGATGCATCAAGTTGAGGCCTGAAAAGACCTGAACAAATTTAAAACGTCACATTGAGGAAGATATACTTTGTCATTGTATATAATGTATGATATCACATCCTCCTTTACACTATAGTATAAGGTGTACAGTATTGTACTTCTACTGTTCTTATGATGGTGCCATTTTTAGAGCTTGAGAGGAATACAATATAAAACGGTTTAGATTTACATTTGCCTCCATCCTTGTCAGATGCAAAATATGACAATCAGATGATTTTTGAGTCATGTAGTGCAAAAAAGTGAAAATTCAAGACAATAATAAAAAAATGACAAAGCACACGGATTGCTTTTATTAGTTTTTTTGTTGGTTGTTAAAGGTGATCTGTGGTGACCACAAAATTAAATGAAACATGATGAAGCACAAATATGTTGTTTGTTGAAATGACATAAATGTGACTAAATCCTGTCAGATAACTTTTGAGGAACGACCACTTTTTAACAAAATTTAACAGCACAATAAAATCCTCATCTTCATGTTCTGTGATACACATCTGTTCCTGAATACCCTTTTTCTATTGATCACACCCAGGAGAAACAGGCTTTTAACTTTTCTCTGGAAGAACACACCTTTCATTTGCAGTCTATACAATGACAACCAATTGTGTCCTTCAATGACCTGACAAATTCATGATCTGCTCCATCTCAAAACAGGCAAAACAGCAGTGCATTCGATTAGTGGCCTGAAGAGTATAAAACAGTACAGTTACAATCTTTACATAACCTGATAAGTTCATTAAAGCCAAATTTTATTAACTGATCCAGTGTATAGAAGAGAAAATTTTGAACTGTAAAATTATTTTCGGAAAAAAACATTTTGTGCACAAACATATATGCAATATAAAAATAAAAGCCAACCTGAGTGCAACCAGATGATCTGAATTAGAGAGATTAATTGCACATTAATCACACAAACAAAATGATACTATTATTTATTATGCATGTTCTTTTGATAGCAATTTCTATTGTTTAACAAAAGGACACACAACATAACAAAATCACTCACTTAAAATGAGTGTCAGGTGCCTCAGATGCTCTGATTAGCATCATGACAACAAGTACCCTCTCTAACCTGTGCGGCATCTGCCTGCTTGGTTAGACTGAAATCAAAAACTACATTAAAAACCTGGATTGAAGTCTTTGTCCCTGTCTGCTTTACACTTACATGGCGATCAGCATAGAGGTTGCTCACAGTGAAGAACACATGCAAAGCAGGCAGTGAGCTAGGTGGAAGTTAATAAACAGTCAAATGTATCACACTGCAGACACACCTTTTGTAAATGATATTTCTGTAACTCTGTAACTAAAGACATCACTTTCTGGGTGAAAAGATGTACAAGCTACATTTCCCCTCAAAATAACAACAACAGCAACAAAAAGAAATTATATTTTGCATGAAAAATGTTGTCCGTTCAAATATTTTTGTGCATCATAAAATTAATTTTAATGATAAGTAAGCATATTTTCCCTGAAAATTCTCATTATCGTAATGTATCTAGGTGTTTTTCTTTTACAGTATTTTTATTTACATCAGCATATGCTAAAGAAAGTACAAGTACTACCAAGGTGTATAAATAATTTACAATCGAACAGATTTAACAAAATTAATATTTTTTTTTGTTATTATTTTACATTACAGTGATGAAAAGTGGGCAGAAAAAATGTGCATAGTTGTCATTAAATTACTATGACAGAATGTTTAAAAAAAAAAAAAAGTTTAGGGTCCAAAATAGGATTCATTTTTTAGGGAAAAAATATGATTATTTATTTCAGTTGATGTTGGGGTTTAATATGATCTGGAATGTTTTGATGGGTTTAATGAGATTCATCCTTCCACATGTCTCTGTGTTTGCTTGTGAAATGTTTAAACTCTTAAAACAAGACAAGCCTAAATCTATTTTAATGCTGAACAGGAAACAACACAGGAACTACAGATCTGAGTAAATGTTCCTCTTCCATAATATTTGTGTCATGCTAAGAGCTAAAACAGAACCAGACAAAACACTTCTCCTCAAATCTCTTCCCAAAGCCCAGATTCACTGCTTGAACAGAGAAAAAAAGAGCAACTTTGTCCTTCTCTTGCTTTCCTAGAGAGTGTGAAAACAATCCAGGCCTTGATTTTTTTTTTTCATAATGTGTTTCTATGGCTGGTTTCAAGTGCCTAAGACAACACACAAAACAGCACCATGATAAGGCTGGCAGGAGTTGGCAAGGCGTTTACAGAAACAAAAGGACTGAGGGGTGAAATAAAAAAAAAACTGAATGACCTCTGGTGCCGCAGAGAGAAAAAAAATCATTCAATAAAACTATGTTTCAAAACAGCAGTTTAGCAAGTTCCTGCAGTAAGGATTCCGCAAAAAGAGTTCATAGTTCAAAACTTGTCTGTTCCTATGGCAACAGGTGGAACAACTGGGCCATTCTGTCAATAAAAAGGCTGTGTGGTGATATTGCTCTTTTTCTTGGTTCTCTTCTCGCCTGAAGACCAAAATGAAAGGCTTCATTGAGGTCAACGAAACAGTATTTTAAACTGTGAATGATGTAACATGAGAAACTTGTTGCTAGCAGCTGCTATGAAAGTGTACTCAAACAAACAAGAAATGTGCAAAATGCAGTCAAACTGCATTATCAAGGCACTTGGCATCTGTTGAGCTGGTGTCTTCAGATTCAGCAGGGGCGAATCTGAACGCACTGAGCCGCACAGCCAGCTGTTTTGATGATAACGCCCATCTCAATGTCAATTAGGGATGGGCAAAAAAAAAAAAGGTTTTTCGATTAAATCGTTTTTTTTTTAATGACGTCGATTCGATATCGATGCACACTACACATACTAAAGCGCGGATGACGCTCGCGGTGTTTCAGCTTCTGCCATCTCACTATACGTTTTACCGTTTCATTTGAGAAAACTACCCTCATATCACATACACAGCAGCTGCAAAAGGACCCATACAAAAAAAAGTATAGGTTTAACATACAGGCATGTGGTTCTTAATTTCTTTTTATTAATTCACCATTTGTAAACTGATGTTTACTGTTCATTTTTTAGAAATATCAATAGCATTTGTATCAAAACTATATTCACTGAATGTAATCAAAAAATCGAGAATCGAATCGAATCGAGAGCTTGCGAATCGAATCGGGACATCTGAATCGATACCCAGCCCTAATGTCCATCATCGCCAATTTGGACGAAAAAAAAAAAAAGACGAAGAGGCCCTCATCGATTCACAGGAACAAACAAACCCTTTCCAAATCTAGCTGGCTAGTTAGCTAGCTAGTTTCTCTCCACTCTCTGCCGGATGCATACATTTTGAAACATGGTCACATTATGAGGAGTCTTGTGTGTCAGAGTCTTCTTCCCGAAAAAGAACTTTCCCAGACTTTGTCCCCTGTCCTCTGCTTCGCTCCACGGACCCGTTGATCTCTCCCAGCGGCAAGTAGGAGTAGTCCGCCCTCTGCCCGCGCGCTTTGGATTTTCTACACGTATGGATAAAGTTACTGGCGAGGCTGGCCAGCAGCGACGTTGCCAGGATAGCGCAGACAACCAGCCAGCTTTGTCTGCACACATAAACAAAACACTCTCAGGGTGAGGAGTTGCACTTTGACCTCTGACTCCACCGCTGCTGCCCACAGCCTCCACAAAGCACTTGACTGCAACCATGGCAACACCACACAATCCCTTACTTGCATGTGAAAGGCCGAGCTGACTAATAAATTCATCTCTGCCACTCCGCTGCTGCAGAGTTGTTTACCAGTACAGTCGGGGCACTTGGTTCAGACTTGTCCGAAAGCCTGTTCTGTTAAGCAAGGGCCTGGAATTTGTCAGAGTGAATTTCCATGGCAATAATCAAGTTACTCAAACACGCAGATAGGGAATGGTATAAATGACAAGTTGTTTGAGATGTTGTGGAAACTGTGGCTTTAAGGCATAGGAAAAATGTGTCCTATAATTGTACACAACATTTAGTTTTTTAAAATAGCAACATTTCCACTCTGTGGAAATGAACCAGAGATGATCACTAGAATGTTCTTATCACAAATGGACCATTGCAATTGATTTATTTTATCAAAACCACCTGTCCTCAGACAACAATTTAACATTTCACATAGATTTAAACATCTATAATAAAGTACATATTTTTTATAATATAAAATATATATATTAGAATATATATATATAACAATTTTACATATTATATATTTATATATTATTAAATATAATTTTATTTTGGTACATATTTTAGTCTATATAAAATACTGTGTTATGGTCTTAAAGTATATTTTCTGTGCCAATCACAACAGCTCTATTTCAGAAAATATAAAGAAATTATTCTGGATTTTTAGACATATTTCCCCATTTAGAGTAGGACTGATTATCAACTGGAAACACCAGAAAAACAAAATGGCTGCTGCATTTAATAGTTAATACATATGTGAAATGCAAAATTAATTATATATTAATTATATTTTTTAACTGTAATTGCATGCTACAATTGTAAATATTCATAATAAATATTTTACATGTAAGTACACATCACTTTTGTATCTGACAGGACCAGTGTTGGGGAAAGTTACTTTTAAAAGTAATGCATTACAATATTGCGTTACTCCATAAAAAAAGTAACTAATTATGTTACTTAGTTACTTTTTATGGAAAGTAATGCATTACGTTACTTTTGCATTACTTTTTAAATCTGGACAGGGCTTGCTTGTTTGTTTTTAAAATAAAAAAGTTCTATATTTGGTAAATATAAAAGCCTTTTCACACCAAAATTGAAATGAATAAGCCTCAGGCTGAAGGGAAAGTAAATTTACGTCCATACAGTAGAATGCAGAAGAAGAAATTTCAACACACTTCAGCAATAAAAAAAAGACACATGCTTATTAGTACGGTTGAACTGGATCATCGAAGGTCAGAAGCAAAGACATTGGTTAATAGAATGGGATTAAATACATAAAGGATATTTGTGTTGTTTAACATTTAATGATTGCAGGTTTGCGTCATATTCTGAGTTGCATTATTTTTATTCATTTTGAGGAATAATGAATCTGTGTTTTGTTTTGTGAGCGAGATGAATTAATGCATATTCATATTTATTTAGAAATACGGTAACATCTTCTGATTTCTCAACATGGGGACAGGAGAGCTGTCAATCAATAAATTGAAAAAAAAAAAGTAACTTGCGTTACTTATTTGAAAAAGTAACTGATATTCTCTTGTAAATTAAAAAGTAATGCGTTACTTTACTAGTTAAGGCTGATTTATACTTCTGCGTCGGACCTACGCCGTTGTGGGTGAGATGAATTAATGCATATTCATATTTATTTTAGAACTACAGTAATATCTTCTGATTTCTCTCAACATGGGGACAGGAGAGCTGTCAATCAATAAATTGGAAAAAAAGTAACTTGCGTTAATTATTTGAAAAAGTAACTCAGATATTCTCTTGTAAATTAAAGAGTAATGCGTTACTTTACTAGTTACTTGAAAAAAGTAATCTGATTACGTAACTTGCGTTACTTGTAATGCGTTACCCCCAACACTGGACAGGACTGACACATAGTAATTAATAAAAAGTTGACAAAATGTTATGCTTTGTCCCGTGTCTCAAGAAGCAGTGAGAGGACACATATTGGCTGCTGTTACGGGGGGGTGTGCGTGTCTGTGTTTGTTTGGGGGCGTGTTGGAGCACTTACTCAGATAAATAGGGTCTGGGAGCATTAGCTTCCTCCTCTTGTCTCCATTCCCTCAACATCTGGGCAGCCAGGCAGTGACCGGCTGAAAGATTGTGAGAAAAAAAAACAATGTTTTTGAATCAAATCCCTTGTTAGGACAATAACTCTCCCTTACAGGCATATTTTTCCCGTGCCCCCTTTCCTAACTTCAGATGTAACTGTGGGAAACAGAAGCGCAAGTGCAACTGTTTTTGTTTTTTTTGGTAAATCAGTGTATTACGGTCAATGAAATTACTTTTTTTTTTTTTTGAATATCCAAATGTGGCTCTAGAGTGAAGGTGTGGTCAACATTAGTGAAAATTTAGAGAAAAAAATTTGCAGACAAAAAAATTTCCATTGTCTATTGTCAATAGTATAGTGATGTATAAAGCACAGCTCACACAGAAGTCAGAAGCAGCTTTGTGTTGGTCAACACACCAAATTCAAGTGACCAACTTGAACAGGTTGCAAAATCTGCGAGGGGAAATCTTTTGCCCTTACACATAATTCCCGGTCGCGTGGATTCTAATTGAAATGACTGGATTTCGCCTGTGAAAATTTGCTGAAAAAGGCCAATGTGACCACACCAAAACAATTCATAATGGAAACTTATTTTTATATATAATATTATTTAAGATATATCAAGAAAATATTAAGATGTATCTATTATCCTTTTTCTTTTCCCCCCTAAAGTTCAATTATAATATTAATCAAGCTTTTTGCACAAAAACAATCAAGATTTAGTTTTTACAACCATTTTCAACACTCTCTCTGAACCTTAAAATTAAACAGGTTTTCTGCACCCATTACTGTCTAATACAGGTCTAATACAGCTTGCACTGCCCCATTATTCAGTTGCAGCTTTTGGAAAGCCTGCATTAGATTGTGGAAGACTCCAAAGATCAGGGACCCTGCTAAAAATAAAGAGACCAAAAATCCATCCAATTCTTTGATGTTTGGAGTTCAGAAAATTATAGAATGTTGTCATAGTGCAATGCATTTTATATCAAAACATCAAGGGAAGATCCAACTGGATATCAAATCCTTCACATGAAGCAAATAATGGAGAAGGCTATCACATAGAAGACAGGGAAAGATAAGCAGAAAGCTGTTCACAGCAGTTGGGATCGTAATGAGCCCATGGTGTCAAGCGAATGGGCTGTTCCTGAACTCCAGAGAACAGGGGGTTTGGGGTTTATTATTTCTCTGCAGGGAAGCTTGAGAATGCATCTTCTTCTCACATTAAATGACAGAGGTCAGAAAGTTGGGATAGAACGAGCTGACAAGGTTTTTTTTTCTGGTCTTGACACAAATAGATTCTCTGTCGCAGAGGTCATCACTAACACAAGGGGCTGCTGGGTACTTGTGGGTAGACTGTGATTCTGCAAGGTCTCTTTTCTCTTTTCTCCCCCCCGCCACAAACACCCGGCAGCTTGAGGATGTGTGTGTGCAAGTTTGAGTAGAGAAGTTGCAATCATGTGATAGTAAATGAGCAAAGACAGAGAAAAGGGAGAGATATAGGAAGAAATTGTGAGATACTTTGGCTGTCAATCCATTACATTTTAATAAATATAAATACTTGATATGCTAATAAATGAATCAAATTAACTGGAAATAACTGCCTGAAAAACTCAAGCCTAAAAAAATGTTACTATAAAAAATTATATTGGCAATTATATTATATTATCATAATTTTATATTGGCAATATTTTTTTTTCAGGGTTAAATTTTTCAGATTGTAGGTTGTGGGTGAGATGAATTAATGCATATTCATATTTATTTTGGAACTACAGTAATATCTTCTGATTTCTCTCAACATGGGGACAGGAGAGCTGTCAATCAATAAATTGGAAAAAAAGTAACTTGCGTTACTTATTTGAAAAAGTAACTCAGATATTCTCTTGTAAATTAAAGAGTAATGCGTTACTTTACTAGTTACTTGAAAAAAGTAATCTGATTACGTAACTCGCGTTACTTGTAATGCGTTACCCCCAACACTGGACACATAGTACACATAGTAATTAATAAAAAGTTGACAAAATGTTATGCTTTGTCCCGTGTCTCAAGAAGCACACATATTGCACATATTGGCTGCTGTTACGGGGGGGTGTGCGTGTCTGTGTTTGTTTGGGGGCGTGTTGGAGCACTTACTCAGATAAATAGGGTCTGGGAGCATTAGCTTCCTCCTCTTGTCTCCATTCCCTCAACATCTGGGCAGCCAGGCAGTGACCGGCTGAAAGATTGTGAGAAAAAAAAACAATGTTTTTGAATCAAATCCCTTGTTAGGACAATAACTCTCCCTTACAGGCATATTTTTCCCGTGCCCCCTTTCCTAACTTCAGATGTAACTGTGGGAAACAGAAGCGCAAGTGCAACTGTTTTTGTTTTTTTTGGTAAATCAGTGTATTACGGTCAATGAAATTACTTTTTTTTTTTTTTTAATATCCAAATGTGGCTCTAGAGTGAAGGTGTGGTCAACATTAGTGAAAATTTAGAGAAAAAAATTTGCAGACAAAAAAATTTCCATTGTCTATTGTCAATAGTATAGTGATGTATAAAGCACAGCTCACACAGAAGTCAGAAGCAGCTTTGTGTTGGTCAACACACCAAATTCAAGTGACCAACTTGAACAGGTTGCAAAATCTGCGAGGGGAAATCTTTTGCCCTTACACATAATTCCCGGTCGCGTGGATTCTAATTGAAATGACTGGATTTCGCCTGTGAAAATTTGCTGAAAAAGGCCAATGTGACCACACCAAAACAATTCATAATGGAAACTTATTTTTATATATAATATTATTTAAGATATATCAAGAAAATATTAAGATGTATCTATTATCCTTTTTCTTTTCCCCCCTAAAGTTCAATTATAATATTAATCAAGCTTTTTGCACAAAAACAATCAAGATTTAGTTTTTACAACCATTTTCAACACTCTCTCTGAACCTTAAAATTAAACAGGTTTTCTGCACCCATTACTGTCTAATACAGGTCTAATACAGCTTGCACTGCCCCATTATTCAGTTGCAGCTTTTGGAAAGCCTGCATTAGATTGTGGAAGACTCCAAAGATCAGGGACCCTGCTAAAAATAAAGAGACCAAAAATCCATCCAATTCTTTGATGTTTGGAGTTCAGAAAATTATAGAATGTTGTCATAGTGCAATGCATTTTATATCAAAACATCAAGGGAAGATCCAACTGGATATCAAATCCTTCACATGAAGCAAATAATGGAGAAGGCTATCACATAGAAGACAGGGAAAGATAAGCAGAAAGCTGTTCACAGCAGTTGGGATCGTAATGAGCCCATGGTGTCAAGCGAATGGGCTGTTCCTGAACTCCAGAGAACAGGGGGTTTGGGGTTTATTATTTCTCTGCAGGGAAGCTTGAGAATGCATCTTCTTCTCACATTAAATGACAGAGGTCAGAAAGTTGGGATAGAACGAGCTGACAAGGTTTTTTTTTCTGGTCTTGACACAAATAGATTCTCTGTCGCAGAGGTCATCACTAACACAAGGGGCTGCTGGGTACTTGTGGGTAGACTGTGATTCTGCAAGGTCTCTTTTCTCTTTTCTCCCCCCCGCCACAAACACCCGGCAGCTTGAGGATGTGTGTGTGCAAGTTTGAGTAGAGAAGTTGCAATCATGTGATAGTAAATGAGCAAAGACAGAGAAAAGGGAGAGATATAGGAAGAAATTGTGAGATACTTTGGCTGTCAATCCATTACATTTTAATAAATATAAATACTTGATATGCTAATAAATGAATCAAATTAACTGGAAATAACTGCCTGAAAAACTCAAGCCTAAAAAAGTGTTACTATAAAAAATTATATTGGCAATTATATTATATTATCATAATTTTATATTGGCAATATTTTTTTTTCAGGGTTAAATTTTTCAGATTGTAGGAACGTTTGTTATCAAGGAATTTGCGTAATTACGTTTAAAACATTTTTTTATTAATTGCTGTAAATGGGTGGGTTAAATGGACAGTCCTAGTCAAAACATTTCCAACAAATCACTTCTCGGGAAAATCAGACCAAAGTTAAGTGAAAAAAGGCTGGTGAGAAATGGAGATCTGTTAAGGCTCATATTTTAGTCAACTTGCATGCCACGTTCCACAGTAGAGAAATGTGGACAGACACATACGCACACATATAGAAGGACAATGAGGAATGCTGATGGCTGAAGCTATAAGTAGAGAGAGTTATGTGCTGAGAAAGTGTGAACATTAAACTGATCTATAGAGACGTCACACAGGGAATGTGTTGTTTACATGTCGTGTGAGTGCTAATAGGGGCTGTACCGCACCTCTGTGCAGGCTGATGTTTCTCTCTCCTTGGTATGTGGTGTTGCAGCTTCCTGTGACAGCGTTGCATGGGCACATGTCGTGGCATTGGCACGGCTGCTTGCAGTTCAGCCCGTAGAATCCAAGAGGGCACTCTGGGACAACAAAGAGAGCAGAGACATGGTTAAGTTAATCTATTCATAGAGATAATTTACTCCAAAATAAAGACAGTTGCCTACTTAGGCATGATTGTAGATGCACACTCGAAATATAAGCGGTTCCTTACAGTACTCAGAAATATTATGATTTTATGCTTTTATGTGATATATTTGACCAAAATCTAAAACAGCATTGCATGCATCACTCAAGGCAATTCTAGAAAGCATTTCAAGAAAGAAAGGTTGGTTAAAAATATGTTTTAAGTTCTGGAAAATTGTTTCATCCAATTAAAGATGCACTTCACTTAATATTTGTGCGTGTTAAATATTTTTTGTGCTTATTTGAGAATGTGTTAAGTTTTGTGCTAATGTCAAACTATTGGATACAATGATGAGCATTAGTCGAGTCTTTTGCTGACATTAAGTTCCTGCCAATGATGAGTGTTTCAGATCAGACAAATCATTGTAGCAAAAGTAATTAAATTTGCATTCAACTGACACTTTCATCCAAAGTAACTTACATACATGTTTTATGACAAAAGTTTAGGCATCTTAAACCTTTACCTGGAAATATATCTCTCACGTTTTTCATTACCCTACTAGAGCACATTCACTTGACCCTCAGGACACATACATTTTAAATATGTGCATCTGCTTATATTCCAAAACCGGTTGAGATTAGACCGCATACCTTGCTCACAGGAATCTCCATGAAGACCAGCAGGACAGGTGCACCGTCCGTGAACAGGATCACATGAGCCTCCATTTGCGCACACGCATGTTTGGTTACAGCCATCGCCATAGAAACCTGCTGCACATACTGTGAGAAGTACAAGGGAATTTCAGATGAACACATTGGTTTAAAATAGTTAAAATCACCACTGCTGACTGTAACAAACGTAAAGGTCTTGCAAGTACAGAGCCACTCAGAGCTTTATTTGATAGTCCAAATCTGTGTGACAGCCAGATTTACCCTCACCTTGGCTACAATTTAAACCCATCCATCCAGCATCACACACACATCCATCTGTTTAGAGAGAGGGATAAGACAAGAAAAATAGAGAGAGAATGGTAGATAATGGGTTATCCAAAAAAAACTTAAATACTACCTTTAATGCAAAAGCATTTTCTCTGTTAAAAACATTCACTAACTACAAACAATCTGTCAAAATCTGTTATTTTTAGCAAATGTAATGGATGCAGTATAAGCTACATGCCTTAAACAAATCAATGTCAAATGTCGTTAACACTTTACATTATATTATACATTAATTATATATTTACATAAATAACTGTAACCAAAGTTAAAATGCATTATAATATTTGCAGATTCCTTGTTACATCTGAAATTGACTGTTTGTCATGTGTGTTTTTTTTTTCAATTAAACTTACAGTTATACATTAATACAAGTTACGTGGCTACTTAGTCATGTATTCAGATAAGTAGACATAATGAATGTTATGATGAATAATGCTTGTGATCATAATTATTACAATATAAGGATTAATGCATTATATTTTCTCAAGGTGTACCAATGAATGGATGTTTTATGTATTATAACAGTGGTTAGAATTATTAATGAGATCATACAATGCATTATAAGGTGCATTACAAGGCTTAATTAATGCACTAAAAAATGCTTCATGTAAAGTGTGACCATAATGTCCTTTTGTGATATACAGGAGTGTACGAGAGAGTGACTCACTCTCAGTGCAGATTCCATGGTCTCCACATTCAGCCTGGCAAGTGAGTTTGGCACATCCTGGGCCGCTCCAGCCCCGCTGGCACACACACTGGCCCTCCACGCAGTGTCCATGTCCGCCGCAGTCCTCCGGCTGGCACAGCCTCTCGTGAACACACAGCACAGTGGATACTGCCCGTGGGCAGCGCCACTTCGGAAGTTTGCTGGAATTTAGGCGAAAATGTTGAGATAAAACTGCCAAACTTAGCACACTGTTGTTTGTAAATGTGTAGTTTTGCATTTACCCACCAGTGGTCTGAAGGGTAACTGGCCAGGGATCCGTTGAGGTTATAAGTGGCCGAGCCGCCTCCATCCAGATTAATAGCGTTAAAGACATTCTGTTCCTTCAGAAACTTTGCCACTTGCCAGAGGTTCATTCTGCAAAGATAGTAGTTCACTAAACACATGTAAAAATAAACTGAAAGAAAGAACTAAACTGTACCTGAACTCCGGGTATGCACTACAAATGTGCACTCTCCATTTGGATTTAAATGGCTCACTGTGGTTTAAAACTAAGCTGAAATTTTTGATGTCACAACCATGAGAACACGAACATGACTGATATGCAAATTAACCTACCAAAACAAAAGTAATTTATATATAACTCTTATGCATGTTTAATTTCATTTAGGGAATTTTTAAGTGAGTTTAATTAAGGGCCAGAGAGACAAAATGTTTCTTTTTCTTTTTTAATGTTTTTCTAAAGTAAAAACATTCATATTTTTAAATATGATCACTATTCATCATTCCAATATCATCTATAAATCATTCTAATATGATGATTTGGTGCTCAAGTCATGTTGAAAACAGTTGTGCTGCATAATATTTTTGTGGAATCCGTGATAGATTTTATTTTATTTGTTTCAGGATTCATCGATGAGTAAAATGTTCAAAAGAACAGCATTTATTTGAAATAGAAATATTTTGTAACATTATAAATGTCTTTACTGTGAGTCAATTTAATATATCTTCACTGAAAAAAGTGTTAAATTCTTTCAAAAAAAAAAGAAACTATATATTATGAGTTTGTTGCAAGAAACCTTGAGTAGCATTACAACTCAAAGTGCATAAAAAGCTAATAAAATCATGAATATGGCCTCTCTGAATGGAAAAAAAGCATTCTGCTTTTACATTGTCTTCTTAGGCAATAAATCTTGCAAAGGTACATTCTGGGTTATTTTTAGTGTTGTAGCATGCACAGACAGACAGAGAGACGCGGAGGAATCAATGTTTACAGTGATAATCAGCTGAGATCCGCTCAGGTTCAAAGTCCATTCTCACCCTCTTACACCCGTCTGACCGTCGACATGGAAGAGGATGAGTTTCCCCTCTGCATCGTGACCCACTGCCGTACGGGCAGATATCACGTCCACAAAGTACTGGAATTTTCCTGCAAAATAAAAGATCAATGACCTACTGAATTCTATATTATAAACTTTGAGCACAGATGTGTTTGAAAACAACAGGACTAAGTACCTGAACTACTGTTGAAAATACAGTTTTTCTGATATAGGGAGGAATTTTAGGGAGCCAGATAAACAAGCTTATCATATCCTCACACTTCAGACAGAATCTTGTCTAATCTTACCGGTCTTCTGTGTTTCGTCACATTCTGCCTGGATGCTCTCATTGATGTAGATCTCACTGTTTCTCAGCAGCCACACCACCCCACTGATCAACTGCACGAAGGGGTTTACCTGATCCAGGATGTCATCTTCAGACAGGTAGCTAAGAGTATACACAAGAAAGAGCAAGTGAGACAGAGAAAGATAGGATGGTGTAGCCTAATGGTTAAAGCTCTAGTCTTAAGTCTGGTTAAAGATCCTGTCTTTGATCAAGACACTCCAATAATATGTTGTATAGGCACAATTTTCTTTCCTGTGTTGATGTATCTCCTATTGAAATAGGGAGGTGGGGTGGGACATTTTTTCGCAAATAGCCAGAAGTAATAAGTCTCTTGTCGTGACCCACTGCCGTACGGGCAGATATCACGTCCACAAAGTACTGGAATTTTCCTGCAAAATAAAAGATCAATGACCTACTGAATTCTATATTATAAACTTTGAGCACAGATGTGTTTGAAAACAACAGGACTAAGTACCTGAACTACTGTTGAAAATACAGTTTTTCTGATATAGGGAGGAATTTTAGGGAGCCAGATAAACAAGCTTATCATATCCTCACACTTCAGACAGAATCTTGTCTAATCTTACCGGTCTTCTGTGTTTCGTCACATTCTGCCTGGATGCTCTCATTGATGTAGATCTCACTGTTTCTCAGCAGCCACACCACCCCACTGATCAACTGCACGAAGGGGTTTACCTGATCCAGGATGTCATCTTCAGACAGGTAGCTAAGAGTATACACAAGAAAGAGCAAGTGAGACAGAGAAAGATAGGATGGTGTAGCCTAATGGTTAAAGCTCTAGTCTTAAGTCTGGTTAATATGTTGACACTCCAATAATATGTTGTATAGGCACAATTTTCTTTCCTGTGTTGATGTATCTCCTATTGAAATAGGGAGGTGGGGTGGGACATTTTTTCGCAAATAGCCAGAAGTAATTCAAAAGTCTCTTGTTCATGCTCACCAAAGCTGTATTAATTAATCAAAATACAGAAAAAAAAACAGTAAAGGTGTGAAATATTTTGTACTATTTAAAATAGGTGTTTTCTATTTTAATATTTTTTCAAACATAATTTATTCTTGTGGTGGCAAATTTTCAGCAGCCATTGCTCCAGTCTTCAGTGTCACATGGTCCTTCAGAAATACGAAATTTGAATATGATGATTTGATGCTTAAGAAACATTTCTTATTATTATGATTGTTGAAAACATCTGCGCCACGTATACTTTGATGAACAGAAAGTTCAAAATAACAGCATTTGTTTGAAATGGAAATTATTTGTAACATTATAAATGTCTTTACTGGCACTTTTGATCAATATTATGCATCCTTGCTGAAAGTATTAATTTTGTTAAAAAATAATAATAACAACTTACTGATACAAACTTTTGAACGGTAGTGCACATCACAGCCCAGTAAAACCACACTTGACAGACTGCACTATGATCTAAAGCAATAACGGCACTTTCAAAACAAATAAATTCCAGCAACTTCCTTTACAAAAAAAAAAGCTGATGGTTTGGTAAGACAAGACAGTATAAACATTATCACAACCAAAGGCACAAAAACCATGATTTGCTATACTTAATACTGCCAGACAGGTTGGAGAGAAAAAGCATTTACTTCACAAATAAAACAAAACTGTATACCCATGAAAATTGTTTTGCCAGAAGAGACTGTAATGTGTTTATCTGTTAATGCTACACCGAAAGCTAACAGGCATGAACTAAAAGCCACAAATTGTTGTATTTCACACTAGATAAAGTGGACAGGAATGATTAGCAAAAAGCAAACATTCGATTTGATAAGGATTATACATAAATAATCCCTGGCTTACTGGCAGACCATGTGTACTATTTTATACTTTATTGACTAGAGGCTGTTTTGAATTCCTTAAAGCTCATCCAGGTGAATGTCCAAATATGCTATATAAACACCTTATCTAACGCCAGAACACTCCGGTTAAATGTCCTTAACGTCATAATGAATGACAGACTGAGACACTCTGGGTACATGGTGTTCCAAAGTACTGCCTATTATTAAGAGCACTGGTGCATTATGCAATATTGCCATGTTTTTGTAAAGATTCTATTTTAGGAAACAGATGTTCTACGGGCCCTGCGTACCCATGACTTACTTCCTCCAAATTCTGCACCCATATTTAGGTTGAGGTTTGTTACAGCACCCTGCAGTAAAGGAAACTACTTTGTGCTTTCAGACGTATGCTAACTGATAATGTGGCAGTGCCCTCAAGTACACTCTACTAAACATCTTCTTTTGTGTTCCACAAATGAAAATAAATATCATATGGTTTCAAAGAACATGAGAGTGAGAAGATATGGAGAGAATTTTCATTTTTGGGTGACCTATCCCTTTAAGGGTGTGATACAGCATAAGTACAGCTTAATTATAGGCAGGTCAAAAGTACACCAGCACAAAACCAGGAAAGACTAGCTCAATTTTCTATTGTTTCTTGGGACTCCACACAAAAAAACAAACACTGTGGTATTGCAAAACATCACACAGGCCAGGAGAAAAACTGCAGAGAGCGAGACCTCGGGCTGTGTCCTTACCCAAACACGAGCGTCCCATCCTCGGCTGTCACAGCATGTGAGTACTAAACTAAGTTCTCATTCACACACAAGTTTACATTGAAAACACACACGAGTTACAAAAACAGTCGTTATGTCTGTTAAGGTAAACAGCTGGGAAATAAATCGCATGTTTATTTTAGATCTGTGTGGCAGCAGCAA